CAGCGCGGACTTGGCTACGTCTACTGGGCCATATGGCGGCGACTATCTCTGTAGTGTGGCGGGCGCGGTTGAGGATGCGCCCTATACAGCAAGCTTTGGAGAGTCTGTGGGCTCACTCGGAGGATCTGGAGCAGAGTCTCACAGTCCCCGGGTGGTTGTCTCCTCACCTTCAGTGGTGGACCAATGTCGGGAATCTCTCCAAGGGGATCCCTTTGGAAATCCCTACGCCAGCTCTTACAGTTCAAACCGATGCGTCCCTCACGGGCTGGGGGGTGTTCTGGGCAGTCTGTCGGTGTCCGGACTCTGGTCCGAAGCCGAAGCCGAAGCCCGCCTTCACATCAACGTCTTGGAGCTGAGAGCTGTGCGGTTGGTTTTCGAGCGCTTCCGGGAGCATGTTCAGGGCCAGGTGGTTCTTCTTCAGTTGGACAACCGTACGGCCATGACGTACATCCTGAAGCAAGGCGGCATGGTGTCCCTAGCGCTCCTTCGAGAGACGTGGGAGTTTCTCCTCTGGTGCGACCAGTGCGACTGTCAGGTGCTTCCTGTTTATCTCCCGGGGCTGGAGAACGTGCGAGCAGACGCTCTCTCTTGCGGGATCCTGGCCCCCCATGAGTGGATGCTCGACCGGCAGATATTCGGAGTTATCTCCCAGTTGTACGGATCGTTCCAGTTGGATCTGTTTGCGTCCGGCGGGACGAATCAGATACCCGTGTTCTGCTCTCGAATACCGGACCAGAGGGCGTTGGCTTCCGGCGCTTTCCTGCTTGATTGGACGGGCAAAGTGCTCTGGGCGTTCCCGCCGCTACCACTCATTCCCCGGGTCCTCTCCCAGCTGTCCACCCAGCCAGCTCGGCTACTTGTGCTACTGGCACCGCTATGGCCGTCACAGAGCTGGTTTCCGGTAATTCTCAGGTTTCTGGGTCAGCCTCCTGTTCTATTACCTTTGCGACCGGACATTCTCACTCAGAACGTTGCGCCATACCCCAATCCAAGGATTCAGTGGGTGGCTTGGCCTCTGTCAGGTCTAGCCTCGAAGCACGCGGAATTCCTGCAGCAGTTGCAGACACAATTCTGGCGGGATTCGACAAACGTTCAGTATGAGGATAGGTGGTCCCGCTATGCAGGCTGGTGATTGCAGATCCCTTTTCTGCGGATTTAGTCCGAGTATTGGAGTTTTTGCAAGTTCGTTTGGACCCCTGTCAATGGTGCTCTTCTGGGGCAGCACCCTCTCGTGCAGCGCGTTTTAGCTGGCGTGGATCGGGTTCGACCTGCTGTCAGGCGAACCAGCCCAACTTGGGATTTGTCAATCGTGCTAGATTGGCTCTCCGGTCCTACATTCTCACGTCTATCGGCTATTTCCATTCAGTTGTTTATATGGAACGCTGTATTTCTGGTGGCGGTAAAATCTGGGTGTAGGGTCGGCGACTTACATGCTATGTCAACAGACCCAGCGCTGACTGTGTTCCATCCAGATCGTGTCAGTATTCGCCTCCCGGATACTTACCGCCCGAAGGTCGATCACGCTTTCCATGTGACAGCTCCTATCGAACTTCCTACTCTTACCCAGCCTTCCACATCGGGGACCTCTCCTACGAGCACTCACCCGTTGGATGTCCGCAAGACTCTCAAGGTCTATATCTAACGAACACAGGGGATCCGTAAGGGTACCCATCTGTTCTGCTGTTACGGTGGCGGGAAGGCATGGGTGCCGGCGAGCAAACAGACCCTATCTCGCTGGCTTGTTTCGGTCATTTGTGCTGATTATCAGGCTAAGGGCAAGCATCTCCCTGAGGGGTTGAAGGCTCACTCGGTCAGAGCAGTAGCCATGTCAAAAAGCTTTTGCATCGGCACTACCCACTGAAGAGATATGCTCTGCCGCTATTTGGAGCCGGCCTAACACTATCAACTCGATACACATTCACGTGATCGTGCGCGCTTTGGCCGTTCTGTTCTCTCCAGTGGACAGTGTCCTGCCACCCTGACCGAGTGAGTCTTGGTTATCTGGTTAGTTGACGCTGTTTTCAATTGTGTTTTATTGATATGTCCGCTGTTGTGTGATCTAACTAGGGTACGCTTTCCCATCCTCATCCAAGAACTCGGAAGTCCAACCCTGAAACTACTAGAGTGGTCGAACCTTCTCGTCCATCCGCACACCAAGCAAGCTCACTGGAATCGTTCCAACTACACGTATGGACTGTATCAAAGCTTGCCTAAAGAAGAGAGGATACTCCGCCAGTTCGGCAAAGGCAGTAACATTTGCCCTAGGAGATCGATTCACACTTTGTATGATGACAGTAGGAAGAGATTTTAACTATATGCACGGCGGAAAGCATTTACTGCAACTAAAACATCTCATCCTCAAGTGGCGGAATACTTGTGTCATCTGCGACAGACGAGGTGTTTAAAAGGTTCAACACTCTCACCCTACTGCTCGCCCTAGCAACGGCGGCATGGATGTCGGAAATACATGCTCTAGATTTTGAGCGAACACGATTTGAAACAAGACATCGTGATATCGTACATCTTGGACTGAGATGGGATTTTATTGAAAGAATCAGCTGCCTAGCCAGCCTAGCCTGCCATATCCCAGCGTTATCTACAGTCCTTGGTCCAGAGGATCCACAAGATTTATCCTTGTGTCCAATTAGAGATTTAAAAATGTACCTACAATGGACAAAAACAAGGAGATGAAAATTCAAGCGCCTATTCATCCCCTTATCTATGGAGACTCCCATGGAAGTCTCATGAACAACCATATCAGTTTGGATGAGAACCGTAATACTAAGGGCCTATAAAGCAGCAGGACTTGAGCCTCCATGAGCCTCAAATCCACACGAAGTCAGAGCCCTGGCATCTACTCTCGCTCTGCATGGAAATTGCTCAATTACAAAAATAATGGAAGGCGGCTTTTGGAAATCTGATACAGTATTTGCCAACCATTACCTCAGAGACATCGCCACCGAGGACGTCTCAGGCATTCACCCAAGATTGGCCACTTGTAGCCCAACAACTAACGGTTCCACAAAAGTGCTGAGAAATTCTCACCCTGTATCACGTGACTCTGAGGAGTAAATAGAAATTACTCGTACATAAATTAAAGTGTGGCATCTCCACTTGATGTATGCATCAAGACATGGAGTTGCTAAAGATAACTAGTAGGACACTAGTATATCTATATCCACACTAAAAAGTCAGAAGAACCTTTCGTAAAAAAAGTCTGACAAGTTGTGGTCCCCCCAAGTGATCAGAGGAAAGTTGGAAGAACAGGATCGTCATAGTTCCTGTGTGTGTGTGTGTGTGTGTGTGTGTGTGTGTGTGTGTGTGGGTGTGTGTGTGTGTGTGTGTGTGTGGGTGTGGGTGGGTGGGTGGTGGGTGGGTGGGGAGATACAGGAGGTAAAAGAACAGCCAGTGAATCTAGGAAGTGGCCTGACCTACCACCGATTCCATCGGATTCTGTTAGAATGTAAGCATGAGTCAGGATATGGGAAAATATGTAAATTTCTGAATAAAATTGAGATTTTAAATACTTATCCTGACTCATGAGGTCAGCCCTCCCAACCTCCCCTCTCCCGGCACTCTGGATTTCCCTGTAAATCTGGGTGTCAGGTTTAAATTCAGAGAGTGACAAGCTTGGCCGGTCATGTGACCTATAAGGGCGCCAAAATGGAAAGGCAAGGGAGGCTACTCGTGGGTGAGTGATGATTTTACATCCTCCTCTTTGAAGGGAACTTCAAGGGATTTCAAGTGTCTCACTATCTTTCGGATAGAAGAAGGAGACAAGCATATAAGCATGAGTCAGGATAAGTTTAAAATATCATTTTTATTCAGAAAATTACATTTTTCAAGCGAACCCTATAGAGTTATGTCCCTTGGAGCGCTCTTTACGATTATCCTACGCACAACTTGTGATTGAAACCAGTTCAGCAAACACCAACAACACTGCGTGCCACAGTTGTCGATGTCCAGAGCAATTGTTTCAATTATCAATTTCAGGCAAATCGTAAGGGATAATAAGTCTTTTGTTGCATCAATAGGAAGCTAAAGCGAGTGAATATGTCCCAATATGTATCAGGGCTCGATTTAGTGCTTTGTTACTTGCACTGGTGCAACCCAATATTACAAAGTGCAACCTAGTTATGAGTCTAACTTGCACCAGGTGCAAGTCAATTTTTGAGTGGGTAAACTTCTGAATAAAACATCTAAACAATTCAATGTCATATTTCTGATATTACATATTGCAATAAAACAGTGCAACTTGAATTTGACTGGTGCAATTAGGTTTTTATCTTAGGTTGCACCTGGTGCAAGTGGGTTAATATCTCTTAAATCGAGCCCTGTGTATAATATTTGGCATTGTGCCTTTAAGTGTCATATATTGAACAGGGGTGGAAATAACCCATTGCCCGACGTCCGAGTCCAGTGTTTTTTTTCTGTCGGGCAAGCAAATTGTATATCACACTGTACCTGTGTCCAGTTGACTTTCCAATGTTAATTATGATGTTTATTTGAAAAAGTCAACTAGAAAACGTCAGGTATAGTGGAAAAATTATCTGGGCAAGTGATTTTACATGTGCCACTGTTCCGGAGTACACTATCAATTTTAAAGTTATTTCGACCCCTGTTGAAGTCTTTCTGGTATGATATTTGTCTTGTAATGTTTATATATCAAACCAGGAGTCAGGGTGGAGTTTGTCATGTACAACAGCTGGACCCAGCAACAACATGGTGCAGTCATACTCTGCCTGTTGCGAAATGGTTTGTAGACGTATGTTATTATTATAGGATATTTATATAGCGCGCACATATCCACACACTAGTGCATGCTCAAGGCGCTGGTATTTTTTCCCTCGATCATTGGATGTCAATCTCAATGGCACATCGCATTATCAATCTCAACTCCCTGGGGAGTATACAACTCTTGCAGCCACTAGGCGCACCGAGTTATTGTGGCTTTCTCATCCTAACGAGGTTGGTTTCATGGGACATTGTTTCTGTTGTAGATTGTGGGAAATCTCCTCTACTATCGGTACCTCACCCCGACAATCGCCGCCCCCGACGTCTTCGACATCATCACTGTTGGCGCAGATAAAGCTTTAACCAACGATCAGAGGATAAACCTGGGATCAATTGCCAAAATCCTGCACTTCGCTGCATCAAATATAGGGGGTAACACTCTCAGTTCTTTTTATGTTGCAAGTTATAAAAATCAGAATTGGTGAGAAGAGACACCAAACACGGTGGTTAGAGCATGTACACACATGGCTGATGTAGGGGATACATGTGTCTTCACACAGTCATGCAGTGATCATTCTAGATCGCACCCTTGCATCATTCGCGCAGCGCTATTTAACATAGCGCACCGTACAGGTACTGGCGGATCTTATCTGCGCATCCATAAACGTTAATCTGAAACTCATCATGAGTTTGTTTTCACTTGACAACTCAAGCAAGTACGTCTTTGGAAAACAACAATGCACCTTTTTGACATGACGCACAATATTTTCTAAGTGACCCACACAACTGAGGGCTGGTGGGCCATGGGCTCACTTTTTAGAAATGCTGGAATGAACACTGGTCATGCACGCTCCACTGCCCTCCACGCTCCACTCCACCACAGCGCACACACAGACACACTGTTGTGATACGTTTATAGTTTTGTCTCACAAATCTTTTCGACAATATTTTCCAGAAGACTGTTCTGATGTTATTCCATTATAACTACTTCACTTGAGCATGTTTAGTGCCACACATGAGTCAGTGACGTTGTTAGCTCCCCTTAGGTGAAGGTGAGACTGCCATGTATGTCAGGATGTAGATTTCAGAACCGTCAGATAATTGTTGACTTCCTTTTCCAGTTTGGGGGAGAGAGTTCCTACTTGGCCAGTATGAATGACTACATCAGGGTGGCCCACGACAAGTTCAAGTGAGTCATTCAAAACTGTTTATGCAGTAGCAGAACTATCAAGTGTAATAACTTCAAAATATTTGCATATTTGTATGACTGAGAGAAGATTTATGGGTTCGTTAGGTAACCTTGAATCAGTATATCTATTTCAATACTGGAAAGCTTGCACAGAACACCATTGCTTTGATATGCCCCTCAGATGTAGATGCTAATGGCATTCATAAAAGGATATATCAAAGATCAAACACAACATAACAGTGCGATCTTATTTTATTTACATTTGAAGCTGGTCATGTACATTTGTTGTCAATAACCTTGTTAGTTGTCATGAGCTGCTGGTGATTACAGGAAGTACTGCCTGGCGGCCTGCGATGTGGAGGAGCCGGAGGTCAAGTTCAACATCGACCAGTACACAGACGTCACCATGATCACCAAACCTGTTGTCTACATGTCGGTGCAGGAGATTGTCGACACACATCAGGTGAGATATCACCGAGTATTCCTGTCTGTGGAGAAAGTGATGATAGACTTGACCTTGATGTTGATGTATATTCATATGAATACATGTTATATGCCAATCAAACAGAAAATAATCACAAGTAAAGAGAGGGTCAATATTTGGGTTTAAACAATCTGCATCTTTCAGACACCTTGCTGATATCATGGTAAGTTGTAGACGTCACCCCATCGTGTTATCCATGGATGTTGTTGTGTTGTTACAGCTGCTGCTTCAGCACCAAGATGCCATCGCCCCGGAACACCAGGATGTGCTGCATGAACTCCTGGAGGATCTAGGGGAGGTGCCCACCATCGATGAGTTGCTGGGTGAGTGGAGGGAACTGGTCTAGTCAATATACAGCTTCTCTGTTCAGTGGCCAATGTTGATAACAAGAATAAAGGACTTATCAAAAGGGATGTCACTTACTTGAATGTATCTTGAAAAACAATGCTTTTTGCATGTGATGATTTGAATTGGCATTTGTTTTCATGAGAAAACAGTTTGCATTGGGAACTTAAGAACAAATTTAGAAGGATATGACCCACAACTCAGCTGATGTATTGTGTTCGGGTGAGCAGGTTAATCCTTGTTCAGGAACTGTCATTTCACTGGATGACCTTTCCAGTTGTGTTTTCTTGGAGAGTGCAATAAATTGATAGGTGAGTAAATTTGATAAGCATGAAATATATAAGACTTAGATGTTAATGATATCACATAGACATATGTTGGACCTCCTTCAGGCACAGAGTTGACGGGAGACGAAACGACAAACGATGACCTACGTGCCCAGTTGTCCAAGACGGAGTTGTCCATGACGTTGTCCAGCAAGTTTGATGTTCAGCACGACGACAAGGCAGACATGAAGACACTCATGATAAGGTTTGATATGTGCTCATGTATTTGTGTCTAATCATTATCCTGAACACTGTCCTGCCTGGCTTGGATCTATTCCATTTTGCATATCTTGCTTTGATGACAAACATCCATATTCAAATAAAAATACTGCTTTTTAGAAAAATCTGTATTAATCGATTGCAGTCTTTTCGAGTAGAGAAACTGAATTCATCATGGGATACAGTTCAGTATGTTCAATTTGAGTTGCAACAACCCTACTATGCAGAGTCTTTGAAGGGCATATAGAAGCGATACACATAAAGGTTCGAATTTATAATGTCAACTTCTTTATATTACACTACTATGTACATCTTCTCATCATAATTAGACACCAGAAGTAGAACAGAAACAAGTCTGTATTGAATTACACTAGTTATGCCTGTGTCTCGTATTGAAGCATGTTCTTTGCATATCTTGACTTCTGTTGTTTGAGGGGCTGTGGGGTAGCCTAATGGATAAAGCGTTGGCTCGTCACGCCGAAGACCCGGGTGTCCCCCGCTGTGATGTTGCTGGAATATTGCTAAAAGCGGCGTAAAACCAAACTCAGTCAGTCAGTCTGTTGTTTGAACTTGCCGCCTTTGTGGAGTAAACTGAGACACAATTGATGCTGTAATCCAACTGCTGTCAGTATGTGAAATATGTTAGCCATCAAGCTGATTTTATCAGTTGGAGCCAACAACCAAATAGTACAGTAAACTAGGTTTGTAACAAACACTTATAATGAATGAACTGGCATATATATCAAACTGTATTCGTTGTTGTCCGTGGCGACTTGCTGTTTATTTGAGTCACAATGTGTATAAGGAAGGCCGAGGGCACCCTTAGCAGGAGTCAGGGAGGAATAACCCATGTATACATTCTGTTTGTTGTAGTTTTAGTTTCTGTTTGTTGTAGGGGTGGTGGGGTAGCCTAGTGGTTAAAGCGTTCACTCGTCACGCCAAAGACCCGGGTTCGATTCTCCACATGGATACAATGTGTTAAGCCCACTTCTGGTGTCCCCGTTGTGATATTGCTGGAATATTGCTAAAAGCTGTGTAAAACTAAACTCACTCACTCACTGTTTGTTGCTGTTTTTCAGGACAAAGCGCATGATTGTTGATGTGATAGCATGTCAGCCGGGTGACGATCTGATCCAGGTGCTTGACATCCCATCCAGTGAAACACAGGTAGTGATGATAGCATTGTGTAGTCCGAGTCAAACTTATTTTATTTCATTTGCTGATATTTTAATCAGTAAAATTGTTTCTCTGTTGCAAGGTTGGTCCCGCGGCATAAGTTAGTAATTGCTCAAACACTCTCTTAGGTGATTACCCATAAGGCACTGGTGCTTTTGTGTTCTACAGGAGGAAATCCACCAGGCGCTAGTGAAGAAGCGTGAGATGATCGATCGCAAGATGACGGAGAACAAGGAGAAAGGGAAACTGGTCCGCCATGCTTCCATCCTTGGAGACACCAGGTACGCTGTTGTTCAATCCTCTCTTGACATATGACTGGAACCTATACTGTGTACTTGTACTAAAACTGATGGTTTGTTTTTGACGCTGTAGTAGCCTTGTAGTGCAAAGGGACTGTCTGATCTAGTACCCTGTGGTATAGTGCCCTGTACTGTCTGATCTAGTATCCTGTGGTATAGTGCCCTGTACTGTCTGATCTAGTATCCTGTGGTATAGTGCCCTTTACTGTCTGATCTAGTATCCTGTGGTATAGTGCCCTGTACTGTCTGATCTAGTATCCTGTGGTATAGTGCCCTGTACTGTCTGATCTAGTATCCTGTGGTAAAGTGCCCTGTACTGTCTGATCTAGTATCCTGTGGTATAGTGCCCTGTACTGTCTGATCTAGTACCCTGTGGTATAGTGCCATGTACTGTCTGATCTAGTACCCTGTGGTATAGTGCCCTGTACTGTCTGATCTAGTATCCTGTGGTATAGTGCCCTTTACTGTCTGATCTAGTATCCTGTGGTATAGTGCCCTGTACTGTCTGATCTAGTATCCTGTGGTATAGTGCCCTGTACTGTCTGATTTATTGCAATATAGTGTCTGATTATCTGTCCTGTACTGTCTGATGTAGTGCCCTGTGCAGTTGTTACTGGTATAATCCCCAGTAGTGTCTAAACTAGTACCCAGTGATCAAGTGACCTCTAGTCTCTGATGTAATGCCCCAGTTTCTGTAGTGTCTGATGTAGTTCTCTGCAGTGTCTGATCTAGAACCTTGTGTCTGATCAAGTGCCCTCTAGTCTCTGATGTAGTGCCCCACAATTTCTGTAGTGTCTGATGTAGTGCCCTGCAGTGTCTGTTCTAGTACCTTGTGTTTGATCAAGTGCCCTCTAGTCTCTGATGTCTGATGTAGTGCCCCACAGTTTCTGTAGTGTCTGATATAGTGCCCTTTGATCAAGTGACCTCTAGTCTCTGATGTAGTGCCACAGTTTTTGTAGTGTCTGATGTAGTTCCCTGCAGTGTCTGATATAGTACCTTGTGTCTGATCAAGTGCCCTCTAATCTCTGATGTCTGATGTAGTGCCCCAGTTTCTGTAGTGTCTGATGTAGTGCCCAGCAGTGTCTGATATAGTACCTTGTGTCTGATCAAGTGCCCTCTAATCTCTAATGTCTGATGTAGTGCCCAAGTTTCTGTAGTGTCTGATGTAGTGCCCAGCAGTGTCTGATCTAGTACCTTGTGTCTGATCAAGTGCCATCTAATCTCTGATATAGTGCCCCACAATTTCTGTAGTGTCTGATGTAGTGCCCTGCAGTGTCTGTTCTAGTACCTTGTGTTTGATCAAGTGCCCTCTAGTCTCTGATGTCTGATGTAGTGCCCCACAGTTTCTGTAGTGTCTGATAAAGTGCTGTCTGATGTAGTGCCCCACAGTTTCTGTAGTGTCTGATGTAGTGCTCTGCAGTGTCTGATCTATTACCTTGTGTCTGATGTAGTTCCCTGCAGTGTCTGATCTAGTACCTTGTGTCTGATCAAGTGCCCTCTAGTCTCTGATGTAGTGCCCCACAGTTTCTGTAGTGTCTGATAAAGTGCTGTCTGATGTAGTGCCCCACAGTTTCTGTAGTGTCTGATTTAGTGCCCTGCAGTGTCTGATCTATTACCTTGTGTCTGATGTAGTGCCCTGCAGTGTCTGATCTAGTACCTTGTGTCTGATGTAGTGCCATGCAGTGTCTCATCTAAGCCCTGCCATTTGCAGGTTGCCCTTGGAGAACATGAAGGGAAAGATCAAGAAGAATTTACAGACATTAGAAATAGCAGGGATGGTATCCAAGAAGAACAAATACCAAGAACTGACCAACTCCATCGTACAGGTATGTCATTTGTGGAGTGAACCGTGAAGCTTTAAGGTACAAATACTTCTCTTTTGTGGACTTCCATGACAGACATCACAATGCATGTTTTCAGGATATTCGCAACCAGAGGCGGTATCGCAACAACAGGAAGCAGGAGCTGATGAGACTCAGGACGACGTGCAAGAGTTTAGCAAACAAACGATCATTCTACGAGTCCCAGATTGACTACTACAACCAGTATGTGAAGACATGTCTTGCTAACTTACAACAGAAAGCCAAGTAAGTGATGATTTAAGTCTTTTACCCTTGCCACATTTCTTCTTGTCATGTCAGTGTATTAGAGTGAGTGAGTGAGTTTAGATTTACGTTGCACTCAGCAATATTCCAGCTATATGGCGGCGGCCTGTAAATAATCGAGTCTGGGCCAGACAGTCCAGTGATCAACAGCATGAGCATCGATCTTCACAATATGGAACCGATGACATGTGTCAACCAAGTCAGTGAGCCTGACCACCCGATCCCGTTAGTCGCCTCTTACGAGAAGCATGGGTTACTGAAGATCAGTTCTAGGCCGGATCTTAATGGGTCAGAGTATTAGAAGGAATGATTTAGGTTGTCCTAATGTAAGGGTCAAACATCTGCTTTATGGTTTCTGGCATGTGTTTTATGTAGGGATTAATGACCTGTGATCAACATGTGTCAACAAATGTGTTTCAGGAAGCACAAGAAACCAGGCTTGTTCCGAAAACAGGCGGACAACCAGAAGGTTCATGGGTCAGTGAGTTACAGCGGGGCCAGGCTCTATGAGAAGGGTGTCGTCCTGGAGATACAGGGCCTCCCACAGAATCAGTGAGTATACCACAGCCTAGCAACCAGAAGGTTCATGGGTCAGTGACTTACAGCGGGGCCAGGCTCTATGAGAAGGGTGTCGTCCTGGAGATACAGGGCCTTCCACAGAATCAGTGAGTATACCACAGCCTAGCAACCAGAAGGTTCATGGGTCAGTGACTTACAGCGGGGCCAGGCTCTATGAGAAGGGTATCATCCTGGAGATACAGGGCCTCCCACAGAATCAGTGAGTATACCACAGCCTAGCAACCAGAAGTGTCTGGCTGAGACAGCCTCTCAAAGTACAGCCTCTCAAGGAATATCTAAATACTGGCTGACAGTGTAATTTACTGGTGCTTTTTATTGTTATTGCCTGGGGCGGGCAAGGGCAGGGCAAGGCAGGGCATGGTAGAAGTACACAGGCAGACTGGTTATATTTATATGCTGATGCTTTCCATGCAGATTCAAAAACGTGCTGTTTGAAATCGCCTCAACTGACAACCCTGGTGTGTTTGAGGTGAATGCCAAGTTCATGGGCGTCCAAATGGATAAAGTGGAGCTTGTCTTCCAGGTGAGAATCTGTAGATATCAGCACTGGACTCTCAAAAGAAGAGAAAATTAAGTATAAAACTGATTGGGGGTCCTTATGTTACAAACATTCAGGGCGTCAAATATTTTCCCCTATAAGTCTCAACTCTTAGTTCTATAATGCATCAATTAATGATGATCTGTTTGTTTAATTATCTGTCATCAAATTTTTTCCAGATTGTGTCTTTAACACTAATTGTTTTTCTTCTCATGAAACCTTAAGCTTTCAACAATCTCTCACAGAGAGATGTGTTCCTGTAGTATTTATCTTCTCAATCCCAGCAGGATGTGAGCAGTGAGTAATTGTCAGTTGCCGTTCTTTCAGGACCTGTTGCAGCTGCAGTACGAGGGTGTTGCAGTCATGGTGATGTTCGGCAAGGCCAAGATCAACGTCAACCTCCTCATCTTCCTCCTCAACAGGAAGTTCTACGGCAAACAGTTGGGGAAATAGTCACATGCTGCATGTAACAACTCATTCACCATCAACAAACCTTATTTCATTGTGATCATCCTCTGGACCCTGGAGAAAGGAACTCATTCGGCACTACACACGATTATGGAAAAGGTTGATTTTGTGATAGTGGAGTATTTGTAAACAAACTGTTTTCTGAAGCCGAACTAAGTGTAAAGAACAATGTCTTTCAAGGATCAGGAGCTGTGAAATTGTCACTGGTGTCAAAGAAAACTCGATGTCTCTTGATGAGGCAGATTTATTAGTAGTGACTCGAGCAGTTCATTAATTATCGTTATCTGTGTTTCTGTATAATATTACGACACGTAGCAACCCATACTGTATATCTTGTCCTATCTTCTGACTTGCCACATTCATTACACCAATGGTTTGTTATCATGCATTTGTTAGCTCTGTTGATATATTGCACACAATGTAGATAACCATTATTTCCCAATTGTATGGCTCGAACGTATACATATATATTCCTATTCTTTTATCACCTGCTAAATTATGAAATATATATTATTAGTTTCAAAACACTGCTTTTAATATCGACTTGTTCATATGACAAGCGTCCCTATTTTGTATATGATGTTTCTAGTGCAATACTTCCTTTCAACTGTCCACTGTCTGCTAGCTGCTGACCACAGGTCAGGTAGTTCTGCTCTCTCTTTGATCTGTTTGTTGGAGGCATTTCCCCTGACTGTCTGCTAACTAGTGATCAGAAAGGTCCGGTACTGCTGCAGTCTTTTAGAGTGATCTCCCTTCATCTCAGCAGTCAGTCCAATGGTCTGCCGGTGTACATGAACAGGGCCACTAGTGAACCAGTGTTGTTGGGTGGAGTGCCTGTCATCAGCTTCTGTCATCCTTTCTCATCTGTCATCCTTTCTCTGAACACTGCTTTTGTCATTCTGTATGATACACCACCAGTTCATGCTCATACACCACAATGAAGACCTACATGTTGCGTCTAGAGCTGGAATTGTCTTGCCATTTCCTGAGTTGTATGTATATCTCCATCTTGTTATATAGCATCATAGAGGTGAAATCTACACTGTTGACGTATACAACTTGTGTTATCCAAGAGCAGGGCTATCTCTGGATCTGATTTTATGTCCTTTTGCAACGTTTTACTATATGTCATGTGTTGAATCTCCTATTCTAGTGCTTTAAGTATTTTAAGACAAATGGGACCAAGATTTTACACCATTTTTCCAAATTGATATATTTTGGATGTATATTTTGATAACAAGTTTAGATTGTATTGTGATTTGGAATGGGACCAATATGAAGAGACAGTTTCATGATGATGACAATTTCCACTGCAGCTTGTGTGCTTGACTTGTTCCTGGAGGGCATAATGTTACTGTTTGTTGTTAACTCTGTTTGAAGTCAAGCTCTTTGTTATTTTCTTGAATAAAGATCTTTGCCTTGCAGTAGGTATTGCTAAGTTTGGATGTGGGTGTTTCTCTTCTCTTGCCAGTGTTATGGAGCAATCCAGAATGAGTGATCGACATAATACAGAAACATTCTTACCATTAGTCATTGAAAACTTTCAAAACAAACTATAGATTGTTTTGGGTATGTCATACTTACACTTAATTATTTATAAAGCTTTAAAAAATAAATTAAAATCAAGGTTCTCAGGTTGAATGAAATAACTTGGCTTTTCTTGGTGTTTAGAACCCTCAGAAATTAATCCTTACTTATAAAGAACATACTTCTTATACTAAACAATATTGGCGACCGGGCTGCAAGCGTCAGTTCTCTAAATACGATGCCAGAGAACCAATTGTTTTTGTTTTTTTAAGCTTGAAGCAGTTGTATATATGACACATGGTGCTATTAGACTAGTGGGTCTGTTGATTCCCAAGAGTCTGTTGCTGGCTGACCAGCAATGTGTACCAAAAGTGCATAGACACCCTCGTCCCTTCTGCAGCTGCACTCCGATACCACTACTGCCTTTGTGTGTATATGAGCCACACACAGGATCCCGGTCCTGGAATCTCAGCTGGCTGGACGGCGCTAGTTCATGTGAGGCTAGCAACCCACAGCATCCTAGATCTCTCTATTTCCTGCATTATCTGTGTAGTCACTATATTTATATTATAAGCTATATGTTATTTTAGAAACATGTAGGCTGTTTATGCATTGGAATTATCACAGACAAACGTTTATTGGCTCTTTTGTAATTTATCGGTTCTGTAAACTCAAGCTTAAGTCCATGCTTATATTTTACAGCTGACTTACCACTGTGTATATGACAGACCAGAGCTGCGTGTGGGACACGGTGCCGACACGACCAACACTAGAACATGGTCAGGTGTATACACTTGAACATAGTTTTGTCTAATGTCTAATAATTTTAAGAACATTTGCTGTTAGCAGATTTTAGAAATTTGTTTTATATTTCCTTGTCCAATGTTATTTCATTAAGCAATACAGTCAAATGAAATTTTCAAGGAGTGTTTGTTTTCATTATTGTGCATGGTTGGTGACAAATGTAATCCTTTTACTTCCTTAGTATACATATAAAGTCAGTATTTGACATGAAAATTCATTGAATACAAACTAGTCTGCAGCAAACTGGATCTCAGACCATCACAACTGCATCTGCCACATCCTATAATAACCCCAGTTAAATCACTTGAAATATTATATCATATATGACAAACTTATTTGACAGACAACTGATGAATGAAAATCAGTATTGTTCTACCAGTCTTATTGATATGTGCCACACAGTAATCTGTGTTTTCCTTTGTAATGCTGGCATACAGTTCTCGATTAATTTGGGGTATATTGTTTCATAGTGAAGACAATTTCATGAGAAAATACTTGCGATCCCAAACTTTTTCAATATGAAGATGAATAAATTGCCTGTGATTCAGTGCCATTTAATTTGATAATTCCTTAAAGAAAAACACCCACTTATAGACTATTGAGTCTTCTCTGTACAACTTTGCAGGGAAATGACAAGGGATTCTGCTGTGACTATTTGTTATTCTTAATTGCTGGGAAACTATTTCCTGTCAACTTAAGCACACACAGAAAAGAAATTGTTTTCCTTGCCATGTGCATACACAGTGAATATACTGCATTTGGATCAGTTGATAGCTGACAGTGAAGTATGTGAGACGACAGCCATTACACAGAAATAATGGTTAGGATGTAACAGAGGAAGGATAACCATTGTTTGATATCTGGGAGAGTTACCTTGTTCCACAAAACCATTGTTTGATATCTGGGAGAGTTACCTTGTTCCACAAAACCATTGTTTGATATCTGGGAGAGTTACCTTGTTCCACAAAACCATTGATATCTGGGATACCTTGTTCCACAAAACCATTGTTTGATATCTGGGAGTTACCGTGTTCCACAAAACCATTGTTTGATATCTGGGAGAGTTACCGTGTTCCACAAAACCATTGTTTGATATCTGGGAGAGTTACCTTGTTCCACAAAACCATTGTTTGATATCTGGGAGAGTTACCTTGTTCCACAAAACCATTGTTTGATATCTGGGAGAGAGTTAGCGTGTTCCACAAAACCATTGTTTGATATCTGGGAGAGTTACCTTGTTCCACAAAACCATTGTTTGATATCTGGGAGAGTTACCGTGTTCCACAAAACCATTGTTTGATATCTGGGAGAGTTACCTTGTTCCACAAAACCATTGTTTGATATCTGGGAGAGTTACCTTGTTCCACAAAACCATTGTTTGATATCTGGGAGAGTTACCTTGTTCCACAAAACCATTGTTTGATATCTGGGAGAGTTACCTTGTTCCACAAAACCATTGTTTGATATCTGGGAGAGTTACCTTGTTCCACAAAACCATTGTTTGATATCTGGGAGAGTTACCTTGTTCCACAAAACCATTGTTTGATATCTGGGAGAGTTACCTTGTTACCTTGAGAGGGGCAATGTTCACTTCACAGTGTGACAACAAAATTGTCACAGGGACAGTGGTTTAATGTGATTTCTGTGTGCGGATTCAGGCACTGCAGTCATTGGCACTACAATATAAGAAGTGTATCTTACATGTCATCTGGTGTCTTGGTTGATGTATACTTTCAAAGAAAGCATGACTTCAGTAAATACTGGATTGTGACTGTTAATCAATGTCATTCAGAGGTATATATAATCATGTTATATACCTCTGATTTTCCAAAACAGTATGTATTGTTTTTAAATCTTAACGCAGTTATGGTAGAATGGAGATAAACACTGTTTTGGAAAATCAGAGGTATATAACGAAATTATAATAGGTCTAATATTTTTTTAAAACCTCATATTAAATCAAATTTAAAGCTATTATAATTTCGTTATATACCTCTGATTTTCAAACACAGTATGTTTATCTCCTGATTTTACAACAATGTCTGAAACACAAAAGCTGAAACTGGTTTGTAATTATGAGTCAAACAATACCTGCAGAAAATGAAGTCCTATTTACAAACTTAAACCCATTTCTTACTGAGAATTTGACATGTGAACAGTCCTGGTCACATGGTGATAATACAGATACTATGAACAACTGGCACATCTGATGGGGAAATATATTTATTTCTGGCTGTATAAACTACAGCAGGTATCACAGGTAATGCTGGGACTGGCATCATGCATTAACAGGTAATATCAGTGTTCTACTTGGAGGATACATACACGTCATAGATTCTTTGGAGATCATGCACAAGGCAATAAATATACATATGTACAATATATCTAACATCTGCTGCCCAGAAACTGACAAGGTAGATACGTTTGTAATTGCCTTACTTTCTAAGGACTGATCGTTACAATGACATGATTACTGACACAACTAACACATGAATTGGAAGCAAATTTGGCAACATTTAATTGGCAAGCACAATCATCACAAACCAGTTCTATACACATATCTACAATGATATGGCAAAATATTAAAAACACCATGACATTTCCTGGAAATGTCAGGTGTAAAATTGACTAAAATGTTTCAGTTTTCCCCGAAGTTATTCCTCTTCCTGTCTGTCTTCCCCAGTTGATGGGGTTGTCTCTTTCATGTCCTCCTCCTCCTCTTCCTCCTCCTCCTCCTCTGAGATTCCCTCTGACTTCTCCCCCTTCCCATCATCTTTGGTCTTCCCATCAGGAACTGTTAGCTTTCCATCTTCACTGTTCTTGCGCTTCTCTGACATTTTAGTTGTTTGTTTTCGTCGCCTTGGCAACCTCCAAGCATTCCACACTCGGATTGTTTTATCCCATGAACATGACACATACTGCAACATAATGCAACACATTACAACCATGGCAGACAAACAAAACCTAGTCAGTCAGTCTGTCTGTTTTCCAAGACACGACTTCGGGCTAATAGGTAGTCCTGCCAAGTCATCTCACACCACTTGGTCCTGTTCAACAGTCATATTAAATATATTATCTAGTGAGTGAGTGAGTGAGTTCAGTTTTACACTGCACTCAGCAATTTTCCAGCTATATGGTGGCGGTCTGTAAATAATCGAGTCTGGACCAGACAATCCAGTGATCAACAGCATGAGCATCGATCTGCGCAATTGGGAACCGAGGACATGTGTAAACCAAGTCAGCGAGCATGACCACCCGATCCCATAAGTCGCCTCTTACAACACGCGTAGTCGCCTTTTGTGGCAAGCATGGGTTGCTGAAAACCTATTCTACCCCGGATCTTCACGGGTTATTATCTAGTAGACTGGGAACAGGGATGAAAAAATGAAAATATGCTTTACTTTATTGACCTGGAATAATTTTGGATTGTAATGATGTTAGAAATCGCACCTGATTCCTCTCCGGGATGTGTATAATACTCCGCACAGAGTCTGTGTGGCCCAGGTTACTCTGAACAAGGCGATAAAACTCAGCTTCATACACCCTGCAAAATGAAAACAATATTTCAAGTCACTTTCATGATACATCAGTTTCATTAATGCGATGAAAAATTTCCCTTTTCTCTTAATTCTGAACCAGGCTGTTCATTGATGACTTGTGTTTGATGGCACTTTGAACACTGTTTCAACTATATCACATTAAGTCAGCTTAGTGTGGCAGAACAGCCTGACATGCTGCAGGTTTTAGACCTTTACAGTTTAGTGAAACATGGGAGCACAGGTATAATGCTTTTAAAGCAAAATTGTTTGCTAGTCTTCAGTATGACACCTGCAAGTAAGGTCAATGCACTAGATGCTGATCCTCTTGATTGATGATATAAGGAATTTGATAATAGTCTCTGACCTGATAGTGTTCTGGATGCCCGCTACAATGGCACCATGAACCTTGTCCATACACAGACAGGCCACCCCGCCTTGCACTGACAAGATGGTCTCACACTCATTCATTCCATTGCCAGACTGAAACATGTAACAAGAAACAAAACGTGAATATTGGAATCATTGATTCAAAAATGTAATTTCTTGAGAATTCAGTGTGCTGTGTTCAGGTTCCTGAAAGGCTTGCAGAAATAACATGAAGGAGTTAGTGGCTTGGCGTGGGTTTAACACTGAACTGAACTTCAACTAAACCATCGAACTAAAGATATTATCCAGCCATGTTTGATGGTGGCTAATCAAATGAAACATAGATATCTTATAGTGAAATATGGGTATTATAGTTGAGGACCTCAAGGATGCAATGTCCAGCCTGGTAATGTTTTGATAATGTTACCTAGTTATATCTACTGGCTGAAGGCAATATTTTGACAGTTCCTACCCAGATTCTCACTGTACCATCCTCAGAACCAGTGACCCACTTGCTGGTAATTGGGTTCCACTGAACACAGGTTATCTCCCCATCATGGCCTTGTAATGTGTTCACCAAGGTCATTTTAGAACCATCTGTTGAGAATTTGCGAATATAAACCATCTTGTCACTTGAGGCATAAGCAAATTCATTCCTGGAAGAGAAGCAGAAGAACATATAACAGACTGTTGAGGGACACTCCAGTTGTTCGTGGTCATAACATACTAATGCAATGAAGGGTGGCGTCTCATATTTGTGCATGGTTCCATGCGGCATATTCTTCTCCTCCTCATGTCCGAGACCTCAGAATGGTAACCATGGTACTCTGTACCAGGATGTAGACACAAATTGCTATAACATGTTTAACAATGATGCTTTCATTTGTCAGGGGTGTGGTATTCCTTTTTTCAGTAATATTGCAGCATTATTATGCCTGGCACATCAGGAATGGGCCTCACACCTAGTACTGATGTAGGGACCTGAACCCGTGCCTTTGGGTAATGAGCTAACACTTTACCAGTCGGCTACCCCACATCAACAATCATTGAATATTCACGAAAGTGACCAGAGAAACATACAAATGTGAGACTCTTGTAAACCCTTGAAACAATTGCCAAAAGAGAATAATGTGTAGGAGGTAATCATAAAATAGCACCATAGCACTGTAGCTAGCCATGCTATGTATTTGAAGAGGATTTTTAATATACCAACAAACAGGCACTTTACTTTGGTAGGGGAATAGTCCACACAGAGAATCAAGTATCACACAAGCTGATCAAGATTATAACGGATACACCTACTTGCTGGGGGAATAGAAAAAATAGAGGATCAAGTATCACACAAGCTGATTAAGGGTACGACAGATACACCTACTTGCTGGGGGAATAGAAAACATGGAGGATTAAGTATCACACAAGCTGATCAAGATTATAACGGATACACCTTCTTGCTGGGGGAATAGAAAAAATAGAGGATCAAGTATCACACAAGCTGATCAAGGTTATAACAGATACACCTACTTGCTGGAGGAATAGTCCACACAGAGGATTAAGTATCACACAAGCTGATCAAGGTTATAACAGATACACCTACTAGCTGGGGGAATAGTCCACATAGAGGATCAAGTATCACACAAGCTCATAAAGATTATAACAGATACACCTACTTGCTGGGGGAATAGTCCACACAGAGGATCAAGTATCACACAAGCTGATCAAGGTTATAACTGATACACCTACTTGCTGGGGGAATAGTAAACATAGAGGATCAAGTATCACACAAGCTGATCAAGGTTATAACAGATACACCTACTTGCTGGGGGAATAGAAAAAATAGAGGATCAAGTATCACACAAGCTGATCAAGGGTACGACAGATACACCTACTTGCTGGGGGAATAGTAAACATAGAGGATCAAGTATCACACAAGCTGATCAAGGTTATAACGGATACACCTACTTGCTGGTGGAATAGTCCACACAGAGGATCAAGTATCACACAAGCTGATCAAGGGTATAACAGATACACCTACTTGCTGGGGGAATAATCCATACACAGGATGACACCGTCACATGCCAACTCCATGTTGTCCTGACCACGGGCAGAGTTTGCTGCCCGAAAGTTGTCATGGAGTCTGAAAAGTGAAACCATCTATCTGTCAACATCTATATATTGAAGAAGGTAATGTACTGTACACAAATGGAAAACTGAAGCAGAATCAGACCCTAAACTGAAGTTCTACTCAAATGACTGACTGACTGACTGAGTTTGGTTTTATGCCGCTTTTAGCAATATTCCAGCAACATCACGGCGGGGGACACCAGAAATGGGCTTCACACATTGTACCCATGTGGGGATTCAAACCCAGGTCTTCGGCGTGACGAGCCAACACTTTAACTACTAGGCTACCCCACCGCCCCTCTACTCAAATGAAATGGAAGAAGGAGGCAGTTCTCACTCCGGGATGTGTTGTGATAAAGGAGATAAACACACTGGATGGATTGGAGAAAGTTGATGAGGAGATGAAGGAAATAGAGCAGATAATGAAGAAGAAATTTGGAATGTGATGAAGATGAGGAGATAGAAGAAACTTAAGGACATGAAGAAGGTGATGAAGAAGGTGATGATGAAGATGACGAAAGTAATGGTAAAGATGTGGCAATACATACTGTCCCTTCTCCAGATCCCAGATGCAGATCCTCCGATCCCAGCCACCACTCAGCTGTAACAAGACCATCCAACTTTTCAGTACAGAAGATCACCAACAGCTATTTGAATATAGGGCGAAGAAAACAAGTGCCTTTTGTTAATTAGATAGTCAGGAAATGTTCAATAGCTGGCTGAACTAACAGAAATCTGTTGTAAAACAATTGTTTGAAAGGCCTCTGTCACATGGTCAAAGGAGTAGCTCCAGAGGGCCTCTGTGTTAAAAAAACAAGCCTTGGATGGCCTCTTACCCAAGCCACCCAGATCTACTTCATGCCTTAAATGAAAATAACATTTTCACCAAAACAAATTGATGTGCTTGTCAGTATCAGATGTTAATGTTTCCAAGAGATAATGGGCTCCTGCTAACTGATAATCACTTAAACTACAGTTCCTTATATTGGAATATTCGAACATATTTACAGTAAGTATCATATAGGGCTGGGATGGGTAACCCGGATACCCAGGACAGGTGGGTAATGAGATGGATCCGGGTACCCATCTCAGTACCCGGACACGTTATGATCATGTGACTAACAGATTAAACAATATAATATGTTATTCTTTCATGATTAAAAGGTTGTATTGTCTTTGAAGATTTAGACATAATTTACATTCCCTTCATTTGAATATAGTACATGGTTAAGATATTGAAAAAAGTCATTTCTGGCCAATTTGATGTCGGGAATTAACACAACGGGTATCCGGGTAGGGTAGGGTAGGGTAGGGGGTAATAGGGGTGGAGTACCCGGGTAGAAAATTTGGACCCATCCCAGCCCTAGTATCATAGTCTCTGTGAAGAGTTTGAATGCCAACAGAAGATGATGTATGGCATCTGATGCTCAGTTCTTCTGTATTTCAATGTTCTTCCCACCAAGCTCTACTCACAACATATGTGCTGTCCTGTCCGTGCTCCCGACCCACGGCCACCAGGCTGGTGACACAACTCATGTGTTCCGAGAACACAAACTTGCACACAAACCCCGCCACACGGTTTGTCACAGAGTCACTCTCCTGGAAGGATTAATTGAAATACAGTAAATTTCAGAATTTATCTTGTGCATTTTCCAATTAATAGCTGCTCAAATTTGTTCAAATAACTGGTTTAGTCAAGGGCCCTCTCGAAGAACCAGCTGATGAGTACTATTTTAAAGTTTATCAGATTTTCTGCTTCTCGGATTTCTTGTGACAGATTGTTCCAAAAGAATTGGCCAGCATGTTGAAATGACCGATCACCATGTCTTGGTACATGACTTTTGTAGCATAGGCAGATGTTGATCTTTTCATGGCAGAAAACATGCTAGCTTGTGTGGTTCTGTCAGTTAAAGTTAGAATGTAGGTGTAGTATTAAAGTGATTTCTTTCTTTCAAACATTTCTTCTCGTGTATTGTTCAGGAAGTGCAGTATTTGGAACAGGTTCTGTATGATTAATACATGGAGATCCCCCTACTACAGCCACTGCTACAACATGTATGGGAGTGAGTGAGTATTGTTTTACAGCGCTTATAGCAATATTCCAGCAATATTACAGCAGGGGACACCAGAAATGGGCGTCACAGATTGTACCCATGTGGGGAATAGAACCCGGATCTTCAGTGTGACGAGCAGACACTGTAACCACTGGGCTACCCCACCGCCCCTACATGTATGGGACAAAGACCATAAGCTACAACACACATATGGGACACTGAGCACAAGCTACAACACATGTGGGGATACTGACCCTCTGCTGGGAAGTGTTTCTGGGCAGCAGCTCTGAGGCAGAGTCCAACAGTACAGCGTACTTGTTGATGAGAGCCTCCAGATCCTGGGGCTTCATGTTCCGCAGCACCTCGACTGCAGCCTCGTCAAACCCCCAGACATCTGTAATTCATACATAAACATCAGCACCTCCACAATAACCTTATAAAACACTCCGACATCTTCAACCCCACTCCCATCAAACTCACAATAGATCTAGAAGACACGATGACCTCAACACTCACAGATATTGCTGTCCTCAGATGCTGCCAGGATGAAGTCCAAACTCTCCACAAACACTATCTTGAGTATCGTTGTATTTGGGTGGTTGTGGGTTGATACCTGACAAACAAACAAAGGTGATCCCTTGATGATGACAGTATTTTTATATTACAGAAACATATAAACAAAAGATGGTTGTGTCCATAGTACCTTGTGACAGATGGTATCATGGGTTTATTGAAGGCATAGTGACTGGTGACATACTCACAGGTGGTATCATGGGTTTATTGAAGGCATAGTGGTGGTATCATGGGTTTATTGAAGGCATAGTGACTGGTGACATACTCACAGGTGGTATCATGGGTTTATTGAAGGCAAACTGACTGGTGACATACTCACAGGTGGTATCATTGGTTTATTGAAGGCATAGTGACTGGTGACATACTCACAGGTGGTATCATGGGTTTATTGAAGGCATAGTGACTGGTGACATACTCACAGGTGGTATCATACTAACTGGTTTATTGAAGGCACAGTGACTGGTGACACACTCACAGGTGGTATCATGGGTTTATTGAAGGCAAAGTGACTGGTGACATACTCACAGGTGGTATCATGGGTTTATTGAAGGCATAGTGACTGGTGACATACTCACAGGTGGTATCATGGGTTTATTGAAGGCATACTAACTGGTGACATACTCACAGGTATAATGGGTTTATTGAAGGCAAAGTGACTGGTGACATACTCACAGGTGGTATCATTGGTTTATTGAAGGCATTGAAGGCATATATAGTGACTGGTGACATACTCACAGGTGGTATCATGGGTTTATTGAAGGCATAGTGACTGCTGACATACTCACAGGTGGTATCATGGGTTTATTGAAGGCAAAGTGACTGGTGACATACTCACAGGTGGTATCATGGGTTTATTGAAGGCATAGTGACTGGTGACATACTCACAGGTGGTATCATGGGTTTATTGAAGGCATAGTGACTGGTGACATACTCACAGGTGGGTATGAAGGCATATGGGTTTATTGAAGGCAAAGTGACTGGTGACACACTCACAGGTGGTACCATGGGTTTATTGAAGGCAAAGTGACTGGTGACATACTCACACTCACAGGGGTTTATCATGGGTTTATCACAGGTGAATGGGGCATGAAGTGACTGGTGGTGACATACTCACAGGTGGTATCATGGGTTTATTGAAGGCATAGTGACTGGTGACATACTCACAGGTATAATGGGTTTATTGAAGGCAAAGTGACTGGTGACATACTCACAGGTGGTATCATGGGTTTATTGAAGGCATATATAGTGACTGGTGACATACTCACAGGTGGTATCATGGGTTTATTGAAGGCAAGTGACTGGTGACATACTCACAGGTGGTATCATGGGTTTATTGAAGGCATAGTGACTGGTGACATATTCACAGGTGGTATCATGGGTTTATTGAAGGCAAAGTGACTGGTGACATACTCACAGGTGGTATCATGGGTTTATTGAAGGCATAGTGACTGGTGACATACTCACAGGTGGTATCCATGGGTTTATTGAAAGCAAACTGACTGGTGACATACTCACAGGTGGTATCATGGGTTTATTGAAGGCATAGTGACTGGTGACATACTCACAGGTGGTATCATGGGTTTATTGAAGTGACATACTCACAGGTGGTATCATGGGTTTATTGAAGGCATACTAACTGGTGACATACTCACAGGTATAATGGGTTTATTGAAGGCAAAGTGACTGGTGACATACTCACAGGTGGTATCATTGGTTTATTGAAGGCATATTTAGTGACTGGTGACATACTCACAGGTGGTATCATGGGTTTATTGAAGGCAAGTGACTGGTGACATACTTACAGGTGGTATCATGGGTTTATTGAAGGCAAGTGACTGGTGACATACTCACAGGTGGTATCATGGGTTTATTGAAGGCATAGTGACTGGTGACATACTCACAGGTGGTAATGGGTTTATTGAAGGCAAACTGACTGGTGACATACTCACAGGTGGTATCATTGGTTTATTGAAGGCACAATAGTGACTGGTGACACTACTCACAGGTGGTATCAAGGGTTTATTGAAGGCAAACTGACTGGTGACATACTCACAGGTGGTGAAGGCATAGTGACATGGTATCATTGGTTTATTGAAGGCATATATAGTGACTGGTGACATACTCACAGGTGGTATCATGGGTTTATTGAAGGCATACTAACTGGTGACATACTCACAGGTGGTATCATGGGTTTATTGAAGGCATAGTGACTGGTGACGTTCTTGTTGCTGGATTTCTGTGAGCTGGCAGTTTCGGCTCGACTTGATGGAGGTAGAATCTGTGACAGCATCTGCTGCTCGATCATCAGCTCCCGGGCCTTACTTCCTGCACGGCGCTTCTTCTTCAGCTTTGAGTCACTCAACAGGAACAGTTCCTTACTGTGGGGATAACAGCATGTGTGTCACCATCAGGACATGGCACAAATATAGCAGCTGCAAAACATACTAGCTAGCAGTAACCCTGTCACTCAAGGATCTCATGGACTTTCAAACGCCCAGATGGGATCTAACTGACGTGTAACACAACAGTGTTCACTTTATGTGACTATGCAAAACCAGGAATCAAGGTTTGCTTATTGGTTGCTCAATCTTCCAACCTCAGCTAGTAGCACTTGCTTGGTTTGTTATGAAGAATAACAAAGGACTAACACACTCTAGTAAATAGTGATATCAACCTACCATTGGATGTCACATGTTGGTCCCAGTAGTATAACCTGTTATGAACCTACCTATACATGAAATGGTTGGACTGCATCCTCTCCCACTTGATTATTACACCTTCGTTGTCCCCGGAGAAGATGAGGATCGGTACTTTCCGAGCTGCAGGCACACAAACAAACACATCCAAACATCACACACTGTGTTGCTGTCATTTGTAATCATACTGTCTCAGTGTTGTAGGCTGCTCCATGTCACAGACATCCAGGTGAGGATGGTTTCACACCACAGTTAACAACATCCTGGTGGTATTACACTTAAAATATACACTCATAACAAGCTTCACACTTTGTACCAATGTGGGGAGTTGTCTTTGACATGGAGCCAACATCAACCCCTAACCAAACTAGTCACACAAACATTATTGTTAATATATCACCATGGGAATTAATAACCTATAACAGAAATTATGAAAGGAAATATAAAAAGAATGTGTTTGACATAATTGCTGCTGTATGTATTGCAAAGAATGCATTCTTAGAACTGACACATGTTTAAATTGTGATAAGACTAGATCTCCACAAGAGTGAGTGAATGGGTTCAGATATTTAAAATGTTGTAGAAGTCAACTATGCAGCTGTCTGTATATTTATGTAGAGCAAGGTGTAAGAGAGACACCTACTATAACAAAGACTCTCCAGTGGAGACTTGCACTTCAGAGCTGTGATGCAGCCGGAGGAGTGATACTTCCACACCACCAGGTGGCGCCTACTGGTGGATGCTGAAACAGACGTACAAGTTACCTTAGGACTGCAGCAGTAGTCTAACTTTAAGCTGTAAGTCTGATAAAAAAAATAAGTACAATATAATTCTCAGTCTTTCATGCTTATTTACTTCCGAGAGACATCAGCAAATGTCCAATTGAAATTCATAGAAAAATTGTTGAAACTCAGTTGTCACATTTCAAAACCGAAATTGTGGTCAGTTAATATCAAACATGCAACAATGCATGCAACGTGTCCACACAGCCTCCATCAGTAAATAAATCAGAAACTAGAAAACTTTCCTGACAAGTGACAACAGAATGTATCACATTGTCAGTTCTTGCAGAACTTCTGCAAATGTTCAGCTGAATTTGATGATTGAGTAGAATATATAATCCACTCTACCACAGTGCTACTTGTTACAACATTTATTTCAACCATGTCATCATGTTAAAACATAATCTAAAACAGGTGCTTAAAGTGTCAGCATTAATATTTTCAAAAGTTAATAAACCATGTGAAGTGTTTTCTCATGCCTCAAATGTATCACGTTCAAGGTAAATGTCATCCCACCAAAGACATGGATTGGTAGACATTCCATCGCAGACAAGCAACCACAGGTTATAAATTCATTACAAGATCAAAGTGTTTAAATGATGTAAAAAGATACAATTCTGTGTGCATTTCTGGAAATGAAATGAATGAGACTGTATAAAGTGATGATACCACCTTGTGATAAAATACTTGTATCAGTTTTGCAGCCTTTAGACTGCGTGTTGAGTGAAATGATGTGCTCATATTAAGTTTCCAGAGTAAACCGGCACTAAGCCCAATCAAGCTACACCAAGTTTCCCTGGTGCAAGTGTTGAGAGGCAGCAGCTGGTACTGACCCACAACCTGGTTGAGTTCCGGGAAGAACCGCAGCAGATGCAGCTGGTACTTCTCCTCCTCCTGGTTCTGGAATGTTCCGATGAAGTCTGACACCTGAACACATGAACACACACAGCTACAGGCCCCACACCTCAAGACACATAACTACAAGTCCTACAGCCCAACACACATGTAGCTACAAGTCCTACAGCCCAACACACATGTAGCTAAAAGTCCTACAGCACAACACACATGTACAAGTTCTGTTCTCAAAACTCATGTAGCTACAGCTCAACACACATGTAGCTACAAGTCCTACAGCACAACACACATGTAGCTACAAGTCCTACCTCAACACGCATGTAGCTACAAGTCCTACAGCCCAACACACATGTACAGCTACATGTAGCTTCAAGTCCTACAGCCCAACACACATGTAGCTACAAGTCCTACAGCCAACAACACACATGTAGCTACAAGTCCTACAGCACAACACACATGTAGCTAAAGTCCTGTTCCTCAAAACGCATGTAGCTACAAGTCCTACAGCCCAAACACACATGTAGCTACAAGTCTCCTACAGGCTACAAGTCACCACACACAGGCCAACACACATGTAGCTACAAGTCCTACAGCCCAACACACATGTAGCTACAAGTCCTACAGCCAAACACACATGTAGCTTCAAGTCCTACAGTCCAATACACATGTAGCAGCAAGTTCCACAGCTCAACACACATGTAGCTACAAGTCCTACAGCAGAATACACATGTAGCAGCAAGTCCTACAGCCCAACACATGTAGCTAAAAGTGTGGCACACAAGCTACAAGTCCTACAGTTCCCACACACATGTAGCTACAAGTCCTACAGCCCAACACACATGTAGCTTCAAGTCCTACAGCCCAACACACATGTAGCTACAAGTCCTACAGCCCAACACACATGTAGCTACAAGTCCTACAGCCCAACACACATGTAGCTACAAGTCCTACAGCCCAACACACATGTAGCTACAAGTCCTACAGCCCAACACACATGTAGCTACAAGTCCTACAGCTCAACACACATGTAGCTACAAGTCCCACAGTTCAACAACACATGTAGCTACAAGTCCTATGTAGCTACAAGTCCAACAACACACATGTAGCTACAAGTCCTACAGCAAACACACATGTAGCTACAAGTCCTACAGCCCAACACACATGTAGCTACAAGTCCTACAGCCCAAACACACATGTAGCTACAAGTCCTACAGCCCAATACACACACATGTAGCTACAAGTCCTACAGCTCAACACACATGAGCTACAAGTCCTACAGCCAACACACATGTAGCTACAAGTCCTACAGCCCAACACACATGTAGCTACAAGTCCTACAGCCCAAACACACATGTAGCTACAAGTCCTACAGCCCAACACACATGTAGCTACAAGTCCTACAACCCAACACACATGTAGCTACAAGTCCTACAGCTCAACACACATGTAGCTACAAGTCCTACAGCACACAATGTACACAATGTAGCTACAAGCTACAAGTCCTACAGCCCAACACACATGTAGCTACAAGTCCTACAGCCCAACACACATGTAGCTTCAAGTCCTACAGCCCAACACACATGTAGCTTCAAGTCCTACAGCCCAACACACATGTAGCTACAAGTCCTACAGTTCAACACACATGTAGCTACAAGTCCTACAGCCCAACACACATGTAGCTACAAGTCCTACAGTTCAACACACACATGTAGCTACAAGTCCAACAGCCCAACACACATGTAGCTTCAAGTCCTACAGCTCAACACACATGTAGCTACAAGTCCTACAGCTCAACACACATGTAGCTACAAGTCCTACAGCACAACACACATGTAGCTACAAGTACAGCCCAACACACATGTAGCTGTCAAGTCCTACAGCTCAACACACATGTAGCTACAAGTCCTACAGCCCAACACACATGTAGCTACAAGTCCTATAAGTCCTACAGCTCAACACACATGTAGCTACAAGTCCTACAGCCCAACACACATGTAGCTACAAGTCCTACAGCCCAATACACATGTAGCTACAAGTCCTACAGCTCAACACACATGTAGCTACAAGTCCTACAGCCCAACACACATGTAGCTTCAAGTCCTACAGCCAGAACACACATGTAGCTACAAGTCCTACAGCCCAACACACATGTAGCTACAAGTCCTACAGCCCAACACACATGTAGCTACAAGTCCTACAGCCCAACACACATGTAGCTTCAAGTCCTACAGCCCAACACACATGTAGCTACAAGTCCTACAGTTCAACACACACATGTAGCTACAAGTCCTACAGCCCAACACACATGTAGCTACAAGTCCTACAGCCCAACACACATGTAGCTACAAGTCCTACAGCCCAACACACATGTAGCTACAAGTCCTACAGCCCAACACACATGTAGCTACAAGTCCTACAGCCCAACACACATGTAGCTACAAGTCCTACAGCCCAACACACATGTAGCTACAAGTCCTACAGCCCAACACACATGTAGCTACAAGTCCTACAGCTCAACACACATGTAGCTACAAGTCCTACAACCCCACACACATGTAGCTACAAGTCCTACAGCCCAATACACATGTAGCTACAAGTCCTACAGCTCAACACACATGTAGCTACAAGTCCTACAGCCCAATACACATGTAGTACAAGTCCTACAGCCCAACACACATGTAGCTACAAGTCCTACAGCCAAACACACATGTAGTTACAAGTCCTACAGCTCAATACATGAATGCACAGCCACATCCCTACCAAGTCCTACCCACAAATACAAAAATGAGATGAATGCTGTGATAACAAAATCTATATTATGAACATAAAAACAGTTTTAAAAATGGTAATCAAATTACTGGCACCAATTAGTCCCATGCACCCTCCTAGTAACATCATCATGACTATTTACCTGAGGGGGCCAGTATCTGTGAATGACACATAGATAACACTGAACATTGTACCTCTTATGAATGCTAACAAACAAGAAAACCAGGCTGAAAGAAGTCTAACAAGACTCCAAAGATAACTGGAAGAATAATGCAACACAAATGAGTCCAATTTTGCTGAGAACAGTATTTCCGTTACATAACCACAGAAATACATTGCATAAACAAAGTGGAGCCAAATCCCTAGGCAGTGCATGAGATAACACGAATGCAAACATGGCAAGATTTTATTAATATGCATGAATATCATGGCAGGGGACACCAGAAATGGGCTTCACACATTGTATCCATGTGGGGAATCAAACTCGGGTCATCGGCATGACAAGTGAATGCTTTAACCACTAGGCTACATTACATTACACCATTTACCATTAGGAAGATGGTAGCCATGGAAACTGATGTAGCAGGATGAGTCTGGCAGATGAAAGAAAAGAAAGATTTACAACCATAGAAGCATGGCTAGTAAAGTGGCTTACATTATCCCCTGACTTGGGGTCGAAGAGGCTGGCATATGACATCCCCCCTGCAGCCCACACAGTCTTGTTGCGAGGCACGTAGCAGATGCCAGTCACGGTGGACGTGAAGTTGTCCAGCTTGTGTACCAGCTTGCCATCAGCTGACCAGATCTTCACACTCTTGTCAAATGACCCGGTCAAGATCCTGCCACAGATAGGCTTGCCATATCATACAAGTAACAATGTCACCTAGTCATAACACAAAACTACATTTCTGTTTTAGATGCCAAATATCTTTCCAGTCTGTGCCCCAAAACTGTCACTAAACTTAAATTTTTAACATTATTTTCCATTAGCTTTTTGTCTCAGCAGTACATTGATTGTTTGCTGATCTTTCTTATTAGTAGAAATGGGACTGGTCCCTGAAGCCACACTGTATTTTCTACATATTCTTTCAATTCATCAGGATGAGGCGAACGAGAATGTATTTCCTACATATTATTTACTTTCCAAGTTTTGATTATCCAGGATGAGTAAGACAAGGAATGTATTTCCTACATATTCTTTCAATTCATTTACTTTCGTAGTTTTTGCTTATCCAGGATGAGTAAGACAAGGAATGTATTTCCTACATATTCTTTCAATTCATTTACTTTCCAAGTTTTGATTATCCAGGATGAGTAAGACAAGGAATGTATTTTCCTACATATTCTTTCAATTCATTTACTTTCCAAAGTTTTGAATGCATTTCCTACATATTCTTTCAATTATCCAGGATGAGTAAGACAAGGAATGTATTTCCTACATATTCTTTCAATTCATTTACTTTCCAAGTTTTGATTATCCAGGATGAGTAAGACAAGGAATGTATCTCCTACATATTCTTTCAATTCATTTACTTTCCAAGTTTTGATTATCCAGGATGAGTAAGACAAGGAATGTATTTCCTACATATTCTTTCAATTCATTTACTTTCCAAGTTTTGATTATCCCAGGATGAGTAAGACAAGGAATGTATTTCCTACATATTCTTTCAATTCATTTACTTTCCAAGTTTTGATTATCCAGGATGAGTAAGACAAGGAATGTATTTCCTACATATTCTTTCAATTCATTTACTTTCCAAGTTTTGATTATCCAGGATGAGTAAGACAAGGAATGTATTTTCTACCATGTGTTGTTCTCGTTGTCTCTAGCCAGCAGGAGGCAGGATATCCCAGCATCATGAGCCTGTGGGTTGCTGCAGGATAATACATCATGACGATATCATGACAAATATACAATGACAATATCATGTATAACATACTATGACCATATCAAAACAAATAAACCATGACAATATCATGTATAACATACTATGACCATATCAAAACAAATAAACCATGAATATCATGTATAACATACTATGACCATATCAAGACAAATAAACCATGACTATATCATGTATACCACACTATGACAATATCATGACAAATAAACCATGACAATATCATGTATACCACACTATGACAATATCATGACAAATAAACCATGACAATATCATGTATAACACACTATGACAATATCATGACAAATAAACCATGACAATATCATGTATAACACACTATGACAATATCATGACAAATAAACCATGACAATATCATGTATAACATACTATGACCATATCAAAACAAATAAACCATGACAAATAATACACACTATGACAATATCAAATGTATGACAATATCATGTATACCACACTATGACAATATATGACAAATAAACCATGACAATATCATGTATAACACACTATGACAATATCATGACAAATAAACCATGACAATATACCACACTATGACAATATCATGACAAATAAACCATGACAATATCATGTATAACACACTATGACAATATCATGACAAATAAACCATGACAATATCATGTATAACACACTATGACAATATCATGACAAATAAACCATGACAATATCATGTATAACACACTATGACAATATCATGACAAATAAACCATGACAATATCATGTATAACACACTATGACAATATCATGACAAATAAACCATGACAATATCATGTGTAACATACTATGACCATTTAAAACAAATAAACCGTGACAATATCATGTAAAACACACAATAACAGTATCATGTACAACACACTATGACAATATTGTTTAAAACAACCAATCTAACTGTGCCTGAAACTGTTAAATCCTAATTCACTAACACCATTGCTGACTTCTTACAGTACACACCATGACAATATAATGTGAAACAAACCAATCTAACTGTGCCTGAAACTGTTAAATCCTAATTCACTAACACCATTGCTGACTTCTTACAGTACACACCATGACAATATCATGTGAAACAAACCAATCTAACTGTGCCTGAAACTGTTAAATCCTAATTCACCTCAGCCAGGTAGAATGTAGGCATTAGGAGGAATCACTACTCACATGAAGACGGCCTCCAGACTGTTGTCTCCTGTGTAGGACGAGTCATAAATCACAAGTTTCTGGTCATATCTGAAATACATAGCATCAGTTTTATGCGTATGGGTTATGTTATTTTCACTGGGCTGTGGAAGTGATCTGCTACACTAACGTTTAGTCCCTGAATATATATAATTTTGATAGAAGCAAATAAACCCATTTACATTGAAAAGGAGCCCCAGTGAGACCAGAGATTCCTGAACCTGAGGAAATCTAGACTTGCTTCCTTTAGAGCTTTAGCATTGCAGGGAGGGCTAAGCATTGGGGAAAATAATGTGGTTCAGGGACTGTGAGACAGACTAGTGATCTGCAACCAAGGGGCAGTCAACCTGACAGTATAATCGGTAGTCCACGAGGCGTTTCAGTATTCCTGGACAATTAAACTCACAGTTAATTTTGAATCTGTCTCTATAAATATTTACTGAAGAAGTGAAATCAAACTAAGAATTGTTATCATGGTTGTAAGCAAACCAACAGAAATACCTACCCAGCTGAGTATATCCTTGACTCGTAACACACAATGTTCCTGACTATATCTGTGTGTTCTCTGGCCACATACAGCACCCGGTTGTTGACTACATGCCCACACTCTTTGTCTACAACATACAGCCTGGTAAACACACATGTGGTACACATTGTATATAGCTACAGTAGTCTTCTCCTCATAAAGCGTATTTCATAGCAACATACTTCTATTTTAAGAAAACTTGACAATCAATTTTTTCAAATCTGTGAAATATTTGACCTTTCAGTGAAAGGAGTGCACCATGTTAGATGGATAAGCAATTGAATCTTGAATTGTGAAAATAAGGTTTTAAAAAAGTACAAGATAAAACATGCCCTGCTGTCTCACTATGGTCATCAATCCATTTGGACACAAACAGATCTATGTCAAATGTTTTTGGTCAGAAACTGAAATTGGAAAATACATGAACAACTGAGATGAGAACATCTTACTTTCATCAAGGCTGTACACTCTGATGCCGCCATTCATCCCACAAACCAGCTGATGGCGCCTGGGATTGAGAGCCATGCAATACACAGGCATACCAATCTGTCAACAATAGATACACCTAGTACAGACCAGCCTTGGACAGACTCTCCATCATGTTCATGAACCATGTATATACAGGTATACATTCAAAACATGGCTACAGTGAGTGAGTGAGTTCAGTTTTATGCTGCACTCAGCAATATTCCAGCTACATTGGCGGTGGTCTGTAAATAATCGAGTCTGGACCAGACAATACAGTGATCAACAGCATGAGCATGGGATACGAGCCTGACCACCCGATATCATTAGTCCCCTCTTACGACAAACATGGGTTACTGAAGACCAATTCTAACCCAGATTTTAACGGGTTGGCTACAGAATAACATCACTCATTCAATATAATCAAAGGATGTGAAATTCATCATTGTGAGTTTGAATACTCAGGTAGGATACAATATAGCACTGATCAAAATATACCGTACATGCTGTCATTTTAAGAAAGAAAATTCAGCTAAGTATGTTTAAGTCAAATTAAAATCATTGCTGTTTTCAAAAATGCTGAAACTATTTTTAATCTGATCAGTCAGCTTTGAGGAATCCTGAACATAACAACATGCAGAGAGAAGTTCAAGCCTGGCCATAGTGTTAGTACAGTATTTAATGGATGGCCAAAAAATCAGACTCAAATTCTATGCATTCATTGACCTCTGAATAGTCTGAGAATTTGATTCCTGGTGCATGGCAGTACCTATACATTAAGTGCATCAGAAGACTGGGGAATAATTTCAGAGAGATGGAAACAATGCAAGATATCTAATATAGCTCAAAATAAATAGTAGCTTTTTCAACTGCTTCAACAGAATTGATAGACATGTCAAGTTCACTGCCCATACTGGAAACAACAACATATTAGTGTGCTTCTTTTTCCTTGGCAACCTCATCAAATAATCTTATAATAAAAAACAAATCACTGTTTGTCCACTTAGCACAAACGTCTCCTTTTACGTTCAAAAGATTACCTTTTATGCCAACATTTCAGTGTCTGATGACCTTTCCTATCTCATTTGAATACAAATTTGCCGCGATTGAATTAAAGAAAGTAAGATGACGTGTTAAGTAATACCAAGTAAGGTTACAAGAAACGTAGACACAACTATTCTATTAGACTGCTAATATCATGGTATTTTGCCAAAATTCCTAGCGTAAAATCACATCCTACGCACTTGAAGGAAATGCTTGTTAAATATCACTATCATCAGTAATGGTGCAGTCATTTTCAAATTAAAGAGATACTGTTCTTAAATTTTCAAGGTAGCCTAATCATATATAAAACTCATAACGCCTATTGGGCTTGGGTTCTGGGCTCCCATTATGCTAGTGTGCATCAATGAACAGTAGGGCAGCAAACGGAGTAAAACATATGCATATGTCATGTATTCCCTTACAACTGAATACAATTGAGGACATCTGTATTGTGCTTTGACAGCATGACTGACCTGAATTCTGTCGAATAGCGCACCACCGGATCCCCATGCAACAATAAACCCATCATTAGCAGCTGACAGCATGAGCTTGGCCCTGGCCCTGAAACACAACAGCAACAGTAAATTGGGAAAAAATTTATGACAAGCATGGACAATGTTCTAATACAAATAGTTTCCTAGGCTGCTAATGGTGTCAATCTATTCAGAACAAAAACTGGTTGAAAGAAAATGAGCACATCAATATATGAGCAAACAACTGAATTTGCAAAACACATATTTTGAAAAATAGCAATGATTTGAAGTTACCAGTAGAGGAAGTCTGTGACCCATCCCCGGTGTTCTGTTGATGTCAACAACAACTTCCCACTCTCAGACTCCCATACCTTGATCACTCCATCTATAAAATACATAAAAACAAAGGTCATTAAAATGCATGCAAAATTTAAAAAGAAAGTCACTTCTGGTAGCATTGACCTTCAACAAGCTATATACAAATGGTAAAAATGATAATTTTCTAGACATAATCACAATACTCTGTGTGATTGTGGTATTCGAACCCATGATCATATACATATACTTTCTTGCAAACTGGTCTTAGGCCATGATAAACAACTAGGTCATACAAGTCATTGACTGAACTTGACGCTTGGCATCATTTTCAGTACATGTAAGTGTTATCATACAGATTCTATTTTTCTTCAGGTGACCCTACTAGACTGAACCAAATTTGCTAAGCATGGGATTTGGACTTGTGGCTAAATTTGCAGAAATGAATCCTTTTGAGTTAATTTCTAATACTGGCGATGTGTTTAACTTCAATTCTGTAGTGTTGTCAACTTCATCAATGTTCATATATTATGTAAAAGTTTTATAACGGGGATATCTGATATTATAAGCTTGATTGATTTGATTGACAGGTGAAAAAAGGTCTTTTCGACATACACTTTCTAAATGATCATAATTAGTGTATGATTGATCTGACCCTCATACACTATTGTGCGTTCTTCTCCATTACAAACCGAGTTTGGTACTCATAAGCAATGTGTTCATTCAGTTTGACATTACTGACATTGATCTGATAATGCAATTTAGTAGGAAGATGTTCCAACGTCTCGACGTGGTCTACAAACAGGTCTTATTTTTTCGAATCTTCAATTCGACGTGCAAAACTAACGAATATGAAAAACAAGAACACCACTCTGACAACTTGATTCGTCATCATGCCAGTTTTACCTTCACATCCCATTAGAATCTCCCGCCGAGCTGGGTTGTATCCTAAGGCTGTGATGGCCCTTGTGTGGGTTTCACGTATGACATATTGCTTTTCCATCGCCATTTCGACGAGTTTTATATACAGCCAAACTTATCCATAATTTCCATTAAATCCAGTTTTTACATGTTTCACATTTCGTCAAAACACACCAAAGATGTCATTTTTGTAAACAATACTGCACATGGACCGCCATTATTGTATATCTTGACAACAACGCATGCGTGTATATGACTTCCGTAAAAGCACTCGAAACGAATCGGGTATTTTCGGAAGGTCAAAGTCGGAATTCGCATTACTCATGACCAACTCAACGAGATCCGAGAGAAGCCGAATGTTGACCCTTGGCGTAGGTTAGGCCATATATAGAAATGGGTGCCAGTCAAATCGCCCCAGCTACAAAACGCCCAGCCAATTTGGTCAAAATGCCCCAGATTTTTGGTCAAATCGCCCCAGGTTTAGTCAAATTGCCCCAGGGGGATAGTCAAAATGCCCCAATGTATTTAAATTGGTTAACTATATGCCACAAATGCATAGTTTTTGTCAACTTCCATATTATATTCTATATATAATATTATATAGTAATATTTCTGATAGATTTTCTATTAGTAAACTGATAACAGCAAAAGTAATATTCATGTATAGACAACACTATAATACCAATTATTTGCATGTTATCAATGCTTTTGTAAAGAATTACAAGAATAAAATGAAATGTTTGTATAAAATGTTTATTGGCCATAAATGCATAGTTTTTGTCAGCAAGTATGGTATAATACTTATCAAAACAATCTAGAGCTTTTATTAATTAATCTTGTCAAAAGGTGAGGCCATAAATGCATAGGTTTTCTCAACAAGTATGGTATAATGCTTATCACAACAATCTAGAGCTTTTGTTAATTAATCTTGTCAAAAAGTGTGGATAAAAACAGGCTATGAAAACATGTTCACTAATTGACATTCAATGCTGTGTTTAGTTAAAGGAAATGTTGAGGCTCGAGTGTATGAGCATTTCAGGCTATAAAAACATATTCAATAATTGACCATCACCTATCGAGATTCAAAAATGTAATTTTGAACGATTCTAATATCTACAGTCATTTTGACTGAAATTTCCGTAGCAGATTTTGTCTTATCATACATTCTCGTCTCCAACTTGAATGTAGTGACCTTAATGCGCACAAATATGAAAGATTTATATCTCCGACATCATCTTGCTCTTGTGGCCATAACTATGAAGACTCTGCTCACTATTTATTTTCATGTACTCTTTACAACAATATACGTCAAATTATGTATTTTTATACTAAAGGATTTGACCTAAAATCAATTTTGTTTGGAAACCAACGCTGCTCCTCAATAGTAAACAAAGAACTTTTAATTTCAGTGCACTCTTTTATATATTTAACAGGCAGATTTGATCCAAAATATTTTGTTTATATGACATATACCGTTTAACAATGATTGGCGTTATTTCTCGTTTTTGCAACATTTATATATCATTCACATTGTACATTCATCATGACGAGTTTATTCTTCCTTCCATTGTATCCCAGAGCGGTATTCATATAAGCTTAAACTTGTTTACCAATCCGGTTCCTTTCTTTGGAAATAAATATGTTTAAATGATAAATATTATACCATACTTGTTATGATTACATAATGCCATTTGTTGACCAAAAACTATTTATAGCCAATAAACATATTATACAAACCTTTCATTTTACTCTTGTAATTCTTTACCAAATAATTGGTATTACAGTGTTGGGCCCAGTGTTGTCTATACATACATGAATATTACTTTTGGTCTTATCAGTTTACTAATAGAAAATTTATCAGAAATATCACTATATAATATTATATATAGAATATAATATGGAAGTTGACAAAAACTATGCATTTGTGGCATATAGTTAACCAATTTAAATACATTGGGGCATTTTGACTACCCCCTGGGGCAATTTGACCAAACCTGGGGCGATTTGACCAAAAAACCTGGGGCATTTTGACCAAATTGACTGGGGCGTTTTGAAGCTGGGGCGATTTGACTGGCACCCATAGAAATATTCTTGTTTCATTAACCCCCGACCTAAAAATTCGACCCGACCATAAGATTTTTTAAATAGTTTTACACCAGAGAAAATGCAACTTTGACGCTCAAAATATGCGTGAATTTTTCGCACTTCGAAGTTTTGATTTTCTTTTGGAGAAAATGTGTAAATTTCCACAGAAATCAAGGGGTTTGGGACATAAAATAAAATAAAATGTAAAAATAAAATCCGCCCGCCCGCCTCACATTCTTTTTGAAAAGTGATGAGAAACGAGAATATTCTTTTATTCTTTTACGGAAACCCACTGGTTTGAACTCGCATGAATCCACCATTCGAAGTTCGTTTTTGGGTGGTTGTACAATTGCGTGTCGTCATGTCCCGTGTGTAACTTACACATAGCTGAGTATAAGATTAAAGCAACTTCAGTAAAATAAATTTGGATGAATATAAACCTTTACGAATCACGAGTTGTTTTTCCGGCACCAGGGAGTCAATATGAGAATACGCAAAGCATGCACGTGCAACACGTAGTAGTGTGTAATGCGCTGTACATTTGATTGTTGTATGAAATGTACTCCAGAGGAGAGGAGACCACAGGCTCATGTAACAGCCTGGTCTCTCTGCCTGACAAGTGTAACCATTGAGTCACGGGTCTTCTATAAATCTAAAATACATAAAATGTAAAATACAGCCAGTAAAATTTCACGAACCCAATTTCAACACATCGGTGATATTTGTGAGCTGCAATTTGCCAGAAAGGCGCATAAGATACGAAATTACAGTCGTCATTAGCCGAGAGCCGCGATGCGGTCCTATACAGTCAAGACATGCGATGCAGGGTCATGTCTTGACTGTATAAGACCGCATCGCGGCTCTCGGCTAAGTAGTCATATACTTGATTTAGAAAATCAGTTCGGGGACCAGCTTCTGTGCAAGTCGATGCTGAAAACAAACATATAATCCTTCATACCAAACAGTAATTCTTTCAAATGATGATCTGTTTAACTTTTCAACTTTTCAACAATTCGCTATACACAAATCGTATCCTGATATTATCCCTTTTCACTAAAGTGTACTACTATAACTGTAAACTACAAATGTACACGTAAATGCCAATCGTTGTCGTCCGTCTCTTAGATAATGTCCAATTTTCTACATTATCTATGCTGTGTTTGTATTAGTAAGCGTGTTATATCCTTATGTTTATATTTTAATGTTAATCAGGTTTCCATGTGAATTACCCTTGGGATAAGAAAGTATTCTAGTACCCAGATGGTGAAACATAGCCAGTGCCATTTATCTTCCAAAACTGTGTTCTACCCGAGATATTGCTTGAGTGAAATTAAACGAGATATATCATGAAGATTTTGTACAATGTCCTGACGTCAGTTGCATGAGATCACAATGTATTGACATCATCCGTTACGTGACTCACAATGCTAGGATGTCAAACACCTGATGACATCGCAATGCTATAACGTCACAATGCTACGAGATCGCTGCACTGCAAGTCTAATGGCAGTACCGTGTTCAGAGATTACATTCTTCATTGATACAGATACAGAATTTACATGACCGAATAATCGACAAATGATATGAAAACCACGAAACTAAAGATAATTATCTGTATTAACCTGCGTTTCTACATTTGGACACAAAATCCTAGGCAGTGTTATGGACAGTCCAGTGAATAATAAGATATCGAAGAGTTATTTCCCCTGAACCGTTGTTTACAATTGTGCCTAGCAATACGCTGTACACACGAACTCGTCTGACACTTTTTACAGGTGACATCACCAGCGTATTGACGCGGATTATGTGAGACTAGCGCACGGTGTAAGGTAGCTTTTATTATTCCAAAATCTTAATTTGGAACGAGCAGTGATGTCTATGAAAGTGGGAAACTCGTGTTCAGCAGTGTTTTCCAAAAGAACTTTGATCATGGTCCTCTGTATCTACATCCAAACTCACGGAATGGTATCTTCAGATTCCAACACAAACAGTACTAACTCATGATCATGCACAATTTGCAGTTATTTAAAAGATGTAATGGTTTGATTGTCAATAAGATGAAGAGAAAAGGAATCTGACGAAAAACAACTTGAATTTACCGTAAATGCTTGAATAAAAGTCCCCAAACAGTAAATCTTTGAATAAACGTGAACGTTAAGAGAATGCCTCTACCAACGACACTATTCTGAGAAAACTATAAAACCTCACGTGAACAAACACTGTGTCATATATCAAACTATGAGATCCTTTATTTGATGTCTTTGAGGATCCATACCAGTGGGGCTGTGGGGTAGCCTAGTGGTTAAAGCGTTGGCTCGTCACGCCGAAGACCCGGGTTCGAATCCCCACATGGGTACATTGTGTGAAGCCCATTTCTGGTGTCCACCGCCGTGATATTGCTGGAATATTGCTAAAACCGGCGTAAAACCAAACTCAGTCAGTCAGTCCATACCAGTGTATGAAATAGGCCAAAAGTCCCCAGCAAGACATCAGGGCTGGTAACTTCAAACTGTTACCAGCCCAAAATGTATTTAACCAGACCAGACATTACTCAGATGTATCGAACATCTAAACATTTTACCAGACCATTGGTCTGGCTAGTTGTAAATTTAGACTGTCCGTCAGAAATCTAGCTCGGCTTGGGCAGTCGGACGGGCCTTATTTCATACACTGATCCATACCCTGTACAAGGTCCCACTTTCAGATATAGAACTTGAGGAAAATGACACACAACTGATGAAATTAAACCACTCCCTGCCTTGAAATATAGAAACGCCTGCCTAAAATAAAAGTCTGAATATTATATAAGAAAATTAGTATGTATATCCAAAGTACAAATACTATGTCTTTCTGATTTCACAGTTCTTGTTTTCCCACATTTTGACACTGCTTTCACACCAAATTACAGTCAGTTCTCACAGTTATCCATTACTCTATCCTCTATTTCAGTTGGTGTAATATTTCCCAATTTAAACCTTCTTAAGTTTATCATGGTGATAATGTAGTGCTTGGAGCACGTTATATATATACCCATGTTTATTCTTGTGATTGTTACTGTCCTTCGTGGACAGGTTTTAATAATTTAACTTTATGTATTAGAAACTACTTGTTTAAGTCACGATGTGGCTGAAATACTGATGATGTGACCAAAAATATTAACTCACTCACTGTGATTATTATTATTTTTTATTCTGATTGTTATTATATCAATGCTGGTGGTAATGATTAGTTTTGTTGCTGTCTTTGTGTTGAATGTTTTAAAGCTGTATACCTTGAATATTTCATTTATATTAATTATTAAGAGGATATGCTTCATATCCATAAATGTAACAAATAGAATATTTTCAAAATCAGAATGTAGTAGTAGTAGTAGTAGTAGTAGTAGTAGTAGTAGTAGTAGTAGTAGTAGTAGTAGTAGTAGTAGTAATCGGATCAGTGGAAAACAATGTTTAAACCCACTCAAAGTGTCTTTAAAAACTGCCTAAAAACCTTCTGAATGGTTGTATTCACATTTTGAAAGTGCAGTTAATTGTCAAAGAATATTAAAATCATGACAAACATATAATATCTGTAACAATCTATGTTTTAAAAAATATCCACAAAACCAAAAGCAGTTTTTTGGGCTGGTGTGTGAGTAATGAGGCAGTTTAAAGAGTTTTGTCCCCAGAATTTTACATAGTAGCAATAGAATTAGTACAGTATGTAGAACATATCACATGATGAGTCAATTCTTTGAAACCAACATCTGTGTTAGAGGTTTTGATCAATCCTAAAATTCATATCAACAAGGACATTTTTATTTTATTTTGTCATTTCTTGTCTTGACAAAGTTCACAACCCTGAAATTATCATCTCTACCTCCTTAAAGGCACAATGTCACACCACACTTCTCCAAAACATAATAATGCATTTCTCTCAATAATACTAAATATCAGCCCCGGGGAAGCTACCATATCGTTTATTCCCCCCCAAATTACGTATTTAGATTACAAAATTAAAAAGTTAGAATGAATTAATGCAACGTTGCATTAAATTGACTTTCGCGCCCTCTATCGGCCGAAAATTATTTCAAGCGAACCCCATAGAGTTATGTCACTTGGAGCGCTCTTTACGAATATCCTAAAGACAACTTGTGATTGAAACAAGTTCGGCAAACACTGGCAACACAGTGCGTGCGACAGTTTTCAATGTACGGAGCAATTGTTTACATTCCATATATGGCAAGTGTTCTCTGTTTGGAAGCTGTCCGCCTCAAAGTTTCAATTATCGATTTCAGGTTAATTGTAAGGGCTGGTGAGTGAGTGATGAGGGGTATGATAAAATGTTCTGTCATAAGGGATAATAAGCCTTTTATTGCATCAATAGGAAGCTAAAGTGAGTGCATATGCTTCATTATATATAATATAGGCCAAAATATTGTCAAAAATGTGCGATGTTGTGCCTTTAAAGTCAGATTCAGTGCTCACTGTAGCATGCACTAAGGTCTGGTTTCATGGAAACTGATATCAGCTTTGATATTCTGTTTACAAGTTATTATGTTGTCTGATATTTCCAACTCCCATTTAGGGATTCGAATCTGAATCTATCCACAATCTTTGTGGGATGACTCTATGCCCAACTACAAGGGGCACATCAAGGGGCCGCAAAGTTGGTTACTGATAATTAATTTGCTCAAATTTGATCTGAATACACATGTGCTCAATCCCAATGTATTGGCCATAAAATTACTGAGGCCCTTGGTGGGATTTGTACCATGGATCTGTTGATCCAAGGTTGGACCAGAGACCATATATATAGTCTATTATCATAATGGTCTCTGGTCAGACAGATTGTCCCCATGTCCACCAAGACAAGCTGACAAGGTAAGGATCTCGTCTGTGGGATGACACCCCTCTACTGTGAGAAAAGACTGATATTGTGTGTATAATTTCAGGCTAATACACTAATGCCAGCAAGCCAGTGAAGTTACAGATGGGCAGCACCTCCAGCATAGCCAAGCCAGAGGCAGCTGAAGTTGATCCAGATATGTTCAGGTCAAGTTCCAACAGGCAGCCAAGTACAGCACTGGCTACAGCCTCTACACCACCACCTCCACCTCCACCACCGCCAGTCCAGTCTAGTTCAGGTGACAAAGATAAGAAGTCACACCTTCAAGATGGAGGGGCAGATGAGGTGGATGCCCCATTGTATGATCCCAAATCCAAAAGAGACGTATTTGGGACATTGGTTGCAGACCCTAAGGTTGTTCAAGAGAAAACACCCGAAGGAGGAGAAATGAGTGAAGCAAGTGTAAAAGTGTTGAAGTCTATGAAGGAGAAGCACCCTCAGTTAGCGGATACTTTTCATAAGCAGTATCAGTTTGTGTCTGTACTTAAAGGTGATCTACTACTTGAAACAGAAAGAAATTATTTGCAGAATTCAGCTGAAACAGATGTCACGATGATGTTTTTGAATGAGACTGACATTAACAGATCACACATGGCTGATTTCTTTGCTGAAATTAATGCAGCCAGTGTCTTTTATGATTCATACAGAGCCTTAATGACTAAAGAAAAGTTGGAGTACATGACAGACAGTATCCTGGAGGGACGGATTACTAAACCAGAGATAATGTTCCTTGTTAACCTCCGGGGTATAATGTGGAATTATTCAGATGCAAGTTCACTGTTTGCGGAGAAACTTGGCAGCACTGGAGTGTTTGAAGACCTTGTGAAAGACCTTCAGCACATGAAGGAAGGGGTAGGTGAAGAAGTAATTGTAAGTAGATACCAGGTCAACAGTGGTCACAGTACACTGAAGTCAAATCATGTTGATGTCTGAGAGTAGATGAGTGACCACCTTGGCAAGCATGATTCATGGAGTTTCCAGGGCTTTGGTATTGCCCAGGCAGACTGATTGCAATATGTGCTTTTAAATATGTTGTGTCTCCTTGGACAGGTGCTTTCAATTAATCAAGTTTATTTCGTAAAAAAGCCTTCGGCCAACATACAATACAAAATATACAGGTGCATTTAAACATGTGGTGTCTCCCTGGGAAGGTGATTGTGTTTGAAGTTTGCCTCTGTTCATAATTATATGCAATGAATGATGCCACACTAATATGCATGCTAAATCTTCTGGTATCTAAACAGCAGTTTGGGTTATTTGTTGATGGAGGTAATATTGCTTTGAGCATCTCCTCTGTGAATTGAAGTCTAGCACGTAGCCTAGGATTCATCAATATTAATAATATTGTTATTATTTTGTAGAATTATCTTTCTGTAAACATCTGACAGCATCTGGGGTCCAGTGAAAAAGAAGGTTGGCCAGGATAGTGAAAGGTTACCATCACTGGCCTGATCATATCAAAAGACATTAAAGGATGATTATTGTTGTTTCTCTGCACTGTGCATTAAGTGGATATAAAAAGAGTGGTCACCTTAGAGTCAGTGTCATGTCTCAGTGTGGTGTTCATGAGAAAATGTGGCATTGTATCTCAGAGCAATAGTATTAAGAGACCAGTACTTATCTGCACTCAAACTTAGGTCAAAGACATACACAACTGCAATTTCTTGCTAATCAGACAGAAAATTAAGTCATGGTCTTCATGTCTGGTGTCATCATAAGCCATTTACTCAGCCATTTTCATTTTTAATGTAATTAATTAGTTATTTTGAATATTAAGAAACTGGAAATTTAGTTTGTTGCATCATATTTGTCCTCATTTATTAAGATGCTGCCTTCGCTGAGATTGAAATTGTTGACAATATGTTAAGGTGAGCTACTGTGTAGTTACAATGTTTTAATGTCAGGTGACCAAATAAAGGATAGGTCTTAAAGGAATAGAAACTAGCCTTGAAGCATGTGTATGGTTTGTGTCCTCATCTGTCATTTCCTTGTTGTAGGACCTGGGTCTCTCCTTTGTGTCCTCATCTGTCATTTCCTTGTTGTAGGACCTGGGTCTCTCCTTTGTATCCTCATCTGTCATTTCCTTGTTGCAGGACCTGGGTCTCTCCTTTGTGTCCTCATCTGTCATTTCCTTGTTGCAGGACCTGGGTCTCTCCTTTGTGTCCTCATCTGTCATTTCCTTGTTGTAGGACCTGGGTCTCTCCTTTGTGTCCTCATCTGTCTTCCTTGTTGCAGGACCTGGGTCTGTCCTTTGTGTACTCATCTGTCTTCCTTGTTGCAGGACCTGGGTCTGTCCTTTGTGTCCTCATCTGTCTTCCTTGTTGCAGGACCTGGGTCTCTCCTTTGTGTCCTCATCTGTCTTCCTTGTTGCAGGACCTGGGTCTTTCCTTTGAGTCCTGTGTTGGCATCCTTCACAATACATCCAAGATTCTAGCAAATCGGCCATTGCTGCGAGCACAGAAGACCGGCCAACACTTGCTGCCCTTCCTCAAATGTCAGAAAACAGGTAAAATATTGTTTACAATAACCTAAAAACTACTTGGAAGGATAATTTATCTTTTCTTACTAGATGAACTTTAGAAGTCACTTTATTAAGACTTTGTTCCCGAATGGTAAAGACGGTAACATTATTGATTCTGTAATTCTTATCTTTGTCCCTCAGATGTAAAGATGGTGATATTACTTATCCAGCACTTATCTTTGTTAACCAAAGGCAAAGGTGACATTACTGATTCCATGTTGCATATCTTTGTCCTCTTTCACCTGTGAAGGTCCGGGTTAGAATATTGATCTTCAGTAACCAATGCTTGTCGTCAGAGGCGACTAACAGGATCGGGGGGTCAGGCTCACTGACTTGGATGACATGTCATCGTTTCCCAATTTCGCAGATCAATGCTCATGCTGTTGATCACTGGATTGTCTGGTCCAGACTGGATTATTTACGGACAGCAGCCATATAGCTGGAATATTGCTGAGTGCGGCATAAAACTAATCCCTCTCACTCACTCTTTGTCCCTTTGATGTAAAGATGGTGATGTTATACTTCATATCTCTGTCCCTCAGCGGTAAAGATGTTGACGTTACTGACCTTGTCGTATGTCCTTGATGAGTCCCAGAATGACCTCCTCCTGGCAGACGATAGTGTCTTTGACTTCATACTTATCATGATCAAGCAGGCCTGGAAGACCAAGGAACATCGGTATAATGGTTTCAGGTACAGTGTGAGAGACGCTTAGCCCTAAGCTAATGGGCAGCATGGCTTTTGCATTTAATGTGAATATCCGTTTGGTGTACATGTACCAGCTGTGTGCCCTGATATGTCTCGAGAGTTCTTAAACTGGAAGCCAAGACAAATTAGGTGTTACACCAGCCTAGAGATGGAAGGCTGGTATGCTCAGTAGAATTGTCTGCAAAAATGTTGACATCACAGAAATAGGATCTAATGCCTAATCTGTTGAACAAATTTGTAAGATATTTTAAAACACATGTTCAAAATATGGGTGTGGACACATCCTGTTTCATGGTTTGTGTAAACAGCTGATGCATGTCCACCATGTTCTGTAGTGTTCTTGAGCTGGTGGACGGAGTGACAGGACTGGCCAAGAATGATGACAATAAGAAGTTGATTGCGAAGAAAGGTGCGGTGGAGACAATGATGAAGATTATGAAGGATGGAAGTGATGATGAGAAGTTGGGTGCTGTCAAATGCATCTGGGAGCTTTCCTTCGACAATGACAACAGGAAATCCTTTCATGTGGGTTATTCAGTATAATTCACTTGCAGCTCTCTCTCTCTCCCTCTCTCTCCCTCCCTCTCTCTCTCTCTCTCTTTGTGATCTTCACAGTAACCCATGCTTGTCATAAAAAGCGGCTAATGGGATGATCGGGTGGTCAGGCTCTCTGATATGTCATCAGTTCCCAATATTATTGCGCAGATCGATGCTCATGCTGTTGATCACTGGATGGTCTGGTCCAGACTTGATTACTTACAGACTGCCGCCATATAGCTGGAATACTGCTGAGTGCGGCGTAAACTAAACTCACTCTCTCACTCACTCACTCACTCACTCACTCTTGCTTGTTGGTCATATCATCTATCTTCACACCACTTAAGCATCTTGTGATCATCCACAGGAGAACGATGAGCTGATGACACTGCTGAAGTCTCTCAAAATGTCAGACAACAGGAAGTTATCAAAAGCTGCTGGTGGAGCATTATGGGAAATACATTTATACAGCGTAGGTAAGTAATGTTGTTAGGTATTCACAAAGGATTGGATCACTAGATTCAAGTTGGTTCAAGCTTACGTAATACACCCATACACATTGGATCTGCGACCTATTTACTACAGACTGTATTTCCCAAAAAGTTACTATGTATATATGAGTAACAATGTGGCTGTAGTGAGGTGTACAAGATATTACAGGCTGTATGCTCCTGTATACCATGAGTCTGAGAGATGGACAGAGATATTTAGCTCGTAAACCCCTTACATCCTGCTTCCTATACTTGTAATGACTTCATCAGCATGAGAATACAAGTTACAAAAGTAATATTTGGCTAAATATCTTGATGATATTCCTAGCAAGGTCCATTATGTGACTTGGCGCGAATAGCTGCAACATTGCTGATGCGGCGTTAAGCACTATTCGCTCACTCACTCACTCTATTATGTGAGGCATGTGATGTAACAAACACAACAAGATCATGATGTAAATCTAGACCAGCCAATCAGAAATCCAATAGATCACACGTCTAGATGTTTTGTATCCCTAAGGCATAAAACACAGATGGTCACGTCCACCAACTCCTTGTCATAGGTGGATATGATGATAGTTAAATAGGTGGTGTTATGGTGATGGATGTTTTCCAGACAGGGCCGTGAATGGAAAGGCTGGAGCACAGGATGGAGGACAGGGGGGAGGACACATCATGATCAGCTACCAGTGGGCTGACCAGAAGAAGCTGCTCCAGGTACTCATCAGCAGCAGAACCAAGTCTAGTCTGTTTACTTACTGCTGCCCCTCAACAGCAGACCTAAGTCTATCCCTTGTACTTCCTCTGCCCCTCAACAGCAGACCTAAGTCTATCCCTTGTACTTCCTCTGGCCTGTCATCAGCAGATCGAGTCTATCCCTTGTACTCCCTCTGGCCTGTCATCAGCAGACCTGAGTCTATACCTTGTACTCCCTCTGGCCCATCATTAGAAGACCCGAGTCTATCCCTTGTACTCCCTCTGGCCTGTCATCAGCAGACCTGAGTCTATCCCTTGTACTCCCTCTGGCCCGTCATCAGCAGACCTGAGTCTATCCCTTGTACTCCCTCTGGCCTGTCATCAGCAGACCTGAGTCTATCCCTTGTACTCCCTCTGGCCTGTCATCAGAAGACCCAAGTCTATCCTTTGTACTCCCTCTGGCCCGTCATCAGCAGACCTGAGTCTATCCCTTGTACTCCCTCTGGCCCGTCATCAGCAGACCTGAGTCTATCCCTTGTACTCCCTCTGGCCTGTCATCAGAAGACCCGAGTCTATCCCTTGTACTCCCTCTGGCCTGTCATCAGCAGACCTGAGTCTATCCCTTTTACTCCCTCTGGCCCGTCATCAGAAGACCTGAGTCTATCCCTTGTACTCCCTCTGGCCTGTCATCAGCAGACCTGAGTCTATCCCTTGTACTCCCTCTGGCCCGTCATCAGCAGACCTGAGTCTATCCCTTGTACTCCCTCTGGCCTGTCATCAGCAGACCTGAGTCTATCCCTTGTTCTCCCTCTGGCCCGTCATCAGACTCGAGTCTATCCCTTGTACTCCCTCTGGCCTGTCATCAGAAGACCCAAGTCTATCCCTTGTACTCCCTCTGGCCTGTCATCAGCAGACCTGAGTCTATCCCTTGTACTCCCTCTGGCCCGTCATCAGCAGACCTGAGTCTATCCCTTGTACTCCTTCTCTCCCTCTGGCCCGTCATCAGCTCAATTCACTGGCATATAGCCAACTAGCATGCAGATGTTTTGGACATTGCCTATAATGGCTGCCACCCTGCTGCAGTCTGCTGTCAAAGCTCAGGCTATGTTTAAAGTGTGTAATGTGCTGTTCTTCCAGTATTGAGTTGCATCTCCTACCCATGTCAGGATCCGCTTGAAGCAGCATTAACCAAATTTACTCTCATTCTGTGCAGGTGAAAGAGATACTCCGAGGTCAAGGCTACAGTGTGTGGATGGACGTAGACAACATGGGAGGCTCTACACTCCAGGCAATGGCGGAGGCTGTGCAGAATGCCGCTGTCCTTCTCGTCTGTATGTCAGAGCGCTACAAGGAGAGCCAGAACTGCAGATCAGGTGAATGTGCCATGGAGACAACCATTTCAGTTCAATGTACACATAAAGATGCATGCATGATGACTTCATGGATTTCAACTTCTATGTTCTTTAAACTTTCATGCTGCTGGTCGGTAGTCGGCATGTATACAATAAAGTTGTATTTACGTTGTATTTAAGTTGTGGTTTCAAAAATGTACAAAATATGTTGCATCTTTCTCACTTCTTCAGTTTAACCACATTGTACAGCATTTAACTAAATATGTTTGTCTGTCAACCGTTCTCAAAATAAAAAAGAGGATAAGCACTGCCTACCGTGGGGGTGATTAAAAAGCAAGATGATGAACTTATGAACTATGTCATGGAGTGATTGCATGGCAAGATGGTGGAAGTGAAAGTGTTGATATTCATAGCTACTTTTCTACTTACCTGAAGTATGGATGCACACAATGTATTGAAATGAGCAAGCATGTAACTGGTTGATATATTAGTTGATAAGACATGTGCATGACATGCCTGCATAACCAAAGTTATTGTCATTATCCTTGATGTTCAAATGTAGTAGCACTTCCCAATTGCACAGATGGATGCTCATGCCGTTGATCACTGGATTGTCTGGTCCAGACTCGATTATTTACAGACTGCCGTCATATAGCTGGAATATTGCTGAGTGCAGCGTTTAAACTAACCTCTCACTCACTCACTTAAATGTAGTAGAAATCCAGAAATGTGGGTATCCATAGCACTGTATCACATATGATGTGATGATGAAGCGGATGTGATTGTGGTGATATTTAATGTTATGTTGCCATTGTGTGCTCAGTGTTACACATTATAATTCACCTTTGAAAAGGGACATTTCTGTTGGCCATATTATGGTACGAGTTGCCATCCATAGTTTTGTCTGGACCGGCTCAATAGCTGATGTTTGACCCCAAGACCACAACAAATGTAAAAAAACCGTAACCAAATAGGAATTAAAAAATACCAATTAATGTTGCCATAACTGAGTAAGCGAGCCTGACCACCCGATCCCGTTAGTTGCCTCTTACGACAAGCATGGGTTACTGAAAGTACATTCTGACCCGGACCTTCACGGGTGGGTTGACAACTGGATGGAGATGGCATTATGTTTAACTGAAAACTGAAGGACTTATAAAGCAGAAGTAGATTCTTTACATCAATACTGCTTAAATATTTTCAGAGACTTAAGTGTTGGTCTGGACAAATGTTCTTGTTCTACATTGTCATAGGTTGGATGACTCTGCCCATGTCCTTGTTCTACATTGTCATAGTTTGGATGACTCTGCCCATGTCCTTTTTCTACATTGTCATAGTTTGGATGACTCTACCCATGTCCTTGTCCAAAATCTGATCATAACCAAAATGTCTGGTCTGCAGTAAGTTATATAATTAATTGATTTATGTCCCTTGCAGAAGCAGAGTATGCTTTCTCCCTCCAGAAGACCATAGTGCCTCTCCTGATGCAGCGTGCGTACAAGCCTGATGGCTGGCTGGGGATGATCAAGGGGACAAAACTCTTCTTTGACCTTAGTGGCAAATATGAATTTGAAGGAAAGGTCAATGAACTCATCAAAGAACTAGGAGACAAGGGAAAGACTTCAAGTCATGGAATAGTTGTAAGTGCAATGGCAATCTTTTTACAAAACTGTCAAGAATTACAATGAAGAAATATTTTGCTTTGAGACTGATGTTCACAGTTGATTTCATTGTGAACTAAATGTGAAGCCATATGAAGTCTTCGGATGTCATAAGTGGTGCAAATCATGGCCAGTGATATCAATACTTAGTCGAAGGAGTCAAACTGCTTGGTTGTCCCGGACCAGTTGGCTGTTATAGCTGTAGTTTGAGTCCATTTTGTATGACATAAGTTGTGAAGTAAGGGACTCGTCATCCATAGGAAGTGTGTATCGTGTGTTTCAAATGGGATGTATTGCAATGTTTTTACTGAGAACAGGTACATTGGGTAAAAAACATATATGAAGTTTTTGTGATTATCTTTATGGTTTTAATTAAAATCTACACAGACTTTCAATCACATCAAATGTTTTCCTTAGTGACAGAACGGCATACTGTAATACAAGGAATTGTATAAAAAAGAAAAAAGAATCCCTGACTATGCAACCTGATTTTTAGGATTGTTGTTATCAGAACCATAACATATATGTTTAGTGACTTATAATGTAGAAAATAGGATCGACATGCACAATTAGTGTCACTTACTGTCAAACAGACTTAAGTTCCTAATATATCGCAATACGAATCACAATATGGATATCAGAATCACAATATATTGCAATACAATTTATTTGCCAATACACAGCCCTACAGTGTACCTTTTTCAAGTCAAAAGTTTAGAATTTGATTGATCAGTTTGGGATTACGACCATCCTTGATTGTCCATATAATTTTCATTCTGGTGACACAGACCCTGGATCTGTTTGCTGCCATAGTGATATGTTTTGTGTGACTCAACATAAATAGTAGTCAGATTACTTCCATAAGTGACAGAATCTATCTGTAAATGCCAAGATAAGGATCAGACATGGTGACTTTCCCTATGGTAGGTTTGGCACCCACCATCAGAAACAAGGATGATCCACAGATAGGATGCATCTGCAATATTGATGTAAAACTGTTTTCACTCACAAAGGCCCTCATTTTGATGCTTAATTAAGTTTTTGAATCTGAGTGTTGGTTTTCTATGAATTTTCATAATTGTCCATGTGTGCTTTAGGATGAGACTAAGATCCCGGTGATCCGAGCAGGCCCAGTGGATGCTGGGAAGGGTGCCAGTGTCACAGACTGGTCCAGTAAAGATGTCCTCAACTGGCTGCACAAATCCAAAGTGACCATGTGAGTCTAGACCTGAATATTGTGTGACCATGTGAGTCTAGGTATATACAGTCGAGCACCGTTGTGTTGAACTCTCGGTTGTCTCGATATAACATCTCGGTCCTGGCAAATTCCTTCATAGTTTATCAATATTCAAGCTCTTTTAACTTCGATATGGATGTCTCGATATTTTAGATATCTCTAATAATTTCATGGTTCCAACAAGCAAAATTACCCTTTTAACTCACTATTTTAATAGAAACTCGATATTCATGTACCTTTCATGGGCAAGTATCCCTCTGAACTGAGGTTGTTTCCACACGTTTCCACACGGTGCGGCATGAATCAAAGGGACGCGGTAGTGGAAACTAATTAGGGCTAATTGAGTTGAAGGTGTCACTTGTTTGTTATATAATTAGGATTAATTAAGAAAGAATTAATTAGGAAGTACTCACTGTTACGACTAAACACTACTGATAACAGATTATAGTTTTGAATCAAAATATACTGAGAATCCAATGATGGTTTTATGTAATGACGTGACTAGCATGTGATTGTTGAGTTGTTTCCAAATGATATGTAATGATATCCCTGGTTGGATGTCTTGAAGTTCGGATAACTCGATATTTTTTCTTGGTCCCATGAATATCGAGACAACGGTGCTAGACTGTATTCTAGGTCTGTATGTCATGTGACCATGTGAGCTTAGGACTGTATGTCATGTGACCATGTGAGCCTAGGTCTGTATGTCATGTGACCATGTGAATCTAGGTCTGCATGTCATGTGACCATGTGAGTCTAGGTCTGCATGTGATGTGACCATGTGAGTCTAGGTCTGCATGTGATGTGACCATGTGAGTCTAGGTCTGCATGTCATGTGACCATGTGAGTCTAGGTCTGCATATCATGTGACCATGTGAGTCTAGGTCTGCATGTCATGTGACCATGTGAGTTTAGGTCTGCATGTCATGTGACCATGTGAGTCTAGTTCTGAATATTAAGCGACCATGTGACTCTAGGCCTGCGTGTCATGTGGCCATGTGAGTCTTGGTCTGAATATCATGTGACCACTGAATATCATGTGACAATGTGAGTCTAAATTTGTGATGTGTTTCAGGAATGAGAATCTGAAGAAGTTGACAGGAGAGCAAGTTGCCTTTCTGCGTAAACTGTCACACAGGGTAAGTAGATGTGAGATTTTTTCATGTTTAATCAGTGAGATATACCTTCTAGAAAATTCTTTGGTGATTATGTACATCGTAAAAACAAACATTGGGGTATTGTAGCTGATTCTCTGGATGAAGAATGAGCTACCCTCAGGTGTGTCTCCATTCTATTGCTTCTCTCTGTTTGAAAAAGTGTTTCTGTTTGACGTCTATATATATGGAAATCAATTAAGCAAAACCTGTATTTACTCAGACTGAGCAACATTTATGAACTGGTGCCTAAAATGTGTCCAAGATTTCCATAAGATATGAATTTTGTAGTGAAAACAAAGGGTTGAGGAGAAACATAGCTAAGATTACCATGACATTATCTGGTTTGAATATTTTACAGACTTGGAAATTGATTTCATGTAAAAAGATTACAAATTTCACTTTTCTTGCACAGACTGTACTGTCAGTACCATGCACACATCTTTCCAATTAAAGAATAATGTCTTGCAAGTCCAAATACTGACTTTCCTTCAGCATCTTGTGCCGGGCTCGATTTAAGAGATGTTAACCTACTTGCACCAGGTGCAACCTAAGATAAAAACCTAGTTACACCAGACAAATTCCAGTTGCACTGCTTTCATTGCAATATGTATATGCAATTATTTAGATGTTTTATTCAGAAGTTTCCCTACTCACCTGGTGCAAATTAGACTAATAACTAGGTTGCACTTCGTAATATTGGGTTGCACCAGTGCAAGTAACAAAGCACTTAATAGAGCCCTATTGTGTTACCTCCCTGCACACAAACAACTGATTCAAGATGCCTCCTCATTCTTGGATTAGTCTCCAGATTTGATTCCGAGGGGGAATCTTGTTCCATTCCTCACACGAAGTAGTGACCACCTCAGCAGTGTAGTGGTTGGAGCGTCCGCCTGGAGAGCGGAAGGTCGCGAGTTTGATCCATGACCGCGTCATACCAAAAGACGTTAAAATTAGGTACTTGTTGGTCCCTGCCTGGCGCTCGGCATTAATGGGTACAACAAGGACTGGTCGGCTCGAGTCAGTATAATGTCTGAGTGGGGTATTAATGCTTAACTGTGGCATGGTATCTCAGTGGGCTAGCACTATAAAACCAGCTTAAGTCTGGGCTAGTACAAGCAGCACACATACACATACACACGCATGCACATCGTCATATGAGCGAAATATTCTCAAGCATGACCCAATTTCACCTCACCTCACCTCACCTCACCTCATACAAAGTAGCAGTCAATTCATTGAGAGTCTAGACAGGTGAGTCAAACATGACAGCCAAAATGTCCCACAGATGTTCCATGGGATTGAAAGGAGAGAGTCTGACAAGTTTATTTCAACACTGTTGGGGGTATGACATTCATGTGCATTGCATGCCGTTGCACGAGCATTGAATATCTCCACAAAAAAATCATGCTATACAGGAAGATGCAAAATATTCCGAAATCATTCAGAAAAAATGCTGTTTTCTTAATTCACAGAATTATAGGTCTGTTGATTAGATGTTGCTTAATTGATTTCCATATGTATATTTGAAACTTTCTTATAACAAGATTAGTAATTTTGTGCTTGTGAGCACTGCCACGAGATATTGTTGTTCATGTCAAAAGAAGCAAATAATATGTACTCTCTGATAGCACTAAAACATTCAGTGTACATTTTATTCCATTGATATTGTAAGTTAGATGTTTATGATTAATTATGTGATTAATGTCTGGGTTGAGTATTGCTGTCATATATTCTACAGGCTCCAGAATATTACTTCAGTTACATTGAAAGAAAGCTCCATCTTGAATCTCTGGACGATATGATGCACTTCAGCAATGGACTTGACAATCTCTGATTGTGTAGTCAGCAACATACCACATAACGATCGAGCTCCATCTTTAATCTCTGGACGATATGATGCACTTCAACAACGGACTTGACAATCTCTGATTGTGTAGTCAGCAAAATGCTACACAGTGATCATATGGACTCTGAAACAACTGGTGTTATAGTCACCATTTTTACATATTGTAAATATTTCAAGGATGAAAACCATCAGGTGTGTTTTTTAATCCTTGCTACCCATCCAAAAGTGGCAACTTTGAATCATGGAAATTATGTCATTTAAACATTTCACTGTCAGTGAGTGAGTGAGTTCAGTTCTACGCTGCACTCCATATACTACTATTCCAGCTATATAGCGGTGGTCTGTAAATAATCGAGTCTGGACCACATAATCCAGTGATCAATGGCATGAGCATCGATCTACGCAACTGGGAACCGATGACATGGTCAACCAAGTCAACGAGCCTGACCACCCAATCCCGTTAGTTGCCTTTTACGACAAGCATGGGTTACTGAAGATCAATATTCTAACCCGGATTTGAACAACAGGTGAAAGACATGATACAAGATTTGCACCGTAAAAATACCCTCTAGTGCATTATGGAAACTGGACAGTCAAGATACATCATATTGATCTAAAAATACCTTCTTGCATTTAACTCATCCTTCAAAGCCAAGATACAATTAATTCAATGTAACAATACCTACTCAGGTATAAATGATATTCCAAAGTCTAGACATAGTTATGTCAATGTAAAAGAACCAGCTTGGGTTTAAACGATACACTGAAGTCGAGATACAACTTTTTCTGATGAAAATAACAACATACGTTTCAATTATAATCCGAAGTCAAGATACAACTTTTCATCGTGAAATTTGAAGTCGAAGCAAATGTGAACTTCATACATGAGTGCAGGAAAATTCTCAATATGGCACACATCAACAATGACCAAGCATAATAAGTTATGAAATGAATTTATGTAAGTTATATAAGAACTCTTACATTTCCAAATTCATTACATTGTGTGGAGTTGAGGTGGGTTTTTTCAGAAATATATCCAAAATATGTTCATTATTACATTTTTTATACCAGTCTTCTGTACAGATAATGTGTGAACTGATATAGATTAAAGAATTTCAAAGAATGATAATAAAAATAGGAACAAGATTGGCACAATAGTATTTTTTAACCTTCGTTCGTGCGGGGTCGATTGTTACTTGAAAAGATGAGTGAGTAATGTTTATAGCCAAATGTTGCCAGTACGGTAGGGTTTCAGCTGCATAGCTTCAAACCCAGATTATGATGAACACCTACCTGCCTAGAATAACCACCTGACTCATGAGAGCAATAAATTACATTATCATATCTACATATAGAGTAGACAGAGCTGGTAGCAGGGTAGGCATTTTAATAGGTTTATTTAATGTTGGAATATATTAATATATTTGAAATATTTTTTGCAAAACACTAAATTGCACTCAAGGTATGAAGTCTCGATCAATATGTCAGTATGCATTGGATTTTTGTTCCTGTCCCCTGGGCTATACAGTTGTTAAATATATACATGCAATGAATGTTCAAGTTGATGCCCGATTGTTAATGTGAAGGTGTGACCCACAGCCGCTATGTGTCATAAATATGTATTGTCTTGACAGGTACATGACTGGTACTCAGTGGAGTTGTGCCCCTAGGGCATATGGATGAGTTTTTGAGGGGTTGTGGCTGATTTTGCCATGGAATGTGTATGTTTGTGTTGTTAACTGAATCAATACAGCTGTGTGTTCTAAATATCTAACAGCATGTGATGTCAGCCAGAGACAAGGTGCAGCCATGGACATCATCGTGTCTTTGATTGTGGACAAGTAGTGCCCTGTGTAATGTGCACTGAGTAATGAGCTCTGATTTCAAAGCCAACACCAGTTAAAAGATCATCCGTGTCACATGGAGTGCCTGAATAATCACCTGTTCTTTGTGATCAGAGTTCATGATGTGGCCAACAATTAGATTGAAAACTCGTTCTATTGGACCTGAAGCCAGCTTTGATATATTTGGTTTATGTAGAAAAACATGTGAACATGAGCACAGATGGTCCATCCCAGAACATTGTAATGTGTTGTTGGGAAGATGTTATCCATGCTGTTCAGGATGTTCATCGGTATTGTCTGCATATTACAGCTACAACTACAGTTGTATATATACCACAGATCACAAATCAGGTGAAATTAGAGCAAGACTGGCAGCAGATGCATAGGCAGCCATATTGCTGATGTCATTTCTCAGATTGTTTTCTGACTTTGTACATAGCGGGCAGCTCCAAGATTGAAAGTCAAACCCTGTTGTTTGAAAGACAAAATGGCTGTTAAGACTGTGATACTCTTTATGTTTGCATGTTTCAATTATAATTGGAATAAACTTATGCAAGATTTGTGTTGTTTTCTGAAGGGTGGGTGGGTGAAAATTTCTGAGCTTAACCTAGAAAGATGTGTGATATATGGACTACTGTCCAAGGTGGCAGGCTGCAGCTGAACTCGATACAGCAAGAGGTAGCATATTTCACTGTTATGAGGTGTTCTCTGATGATGAAAATGGACAAAACTTGCTAACAAACTCATCTCCATCTGAAAGGGCTACAGCTATGTGGCGTTAACTTTGTAGTACATGATGCTCCTTCCATTGCCGCCTCCGGGTGTAGTGGTTAGAGCGTCCGCCCGGAGAGCGGAAGGTCGCGGGTTCGATCCCCGACCGCGTCATACCAAAAGACGTTAAAATATGGTACTTGTTGGTCTCTGCCTGGCACTCGGCATTAATGGGTGCAACAAGGACTGGTCGGCTCGGAGTCAGTATAATGTGTCTGAGTGGGGTATTCATGCTTCACTGCCGCATGGTATCTCAGTGGGCTAGCACTATAAAACCAGCTTAAGTCTGGGCTAGTACAAGCAGCTGCACACACACATACACATACACACGCATGCATGCCGTCATATGAGCGAAATATTCTCAAGCATGACGTTAAACCCATTTCACCTCACCTCACCTCACCTTCCATTGCCATAGTTGGAAGTGGGCAGTGGAGGTCATGTGAGGAGAGGGACTAGAAGATGATCCTGTCATGAAGAGTGAGTGAGTGAATTCAAACATTATGTTGAATTGTCTTTATTTCCCTATTACTAAAAATGATGTTGATAAATACATTATTTGCTTATTTGGCTATTATCTAAAAATGATGTTGATAAACACAACCAATATATTTGCTTATTGATATAACAGTCACACAGCCAATATAACAGTCACACAGCCAATATAACAGTCACACAGCCAATATAACAGTCACACAACCAATATAACAGTCAACGCTGAACAGTGAGCGAGTGAGTTTGCTTTTACACAGCTTTTAGCAATATTCCAGCAATATCTTGGTGGGGGACACCAGAAATGGGCTTCACACACTGTACCCATGTAGGGAATATAACCCGGGTCTTCAAGGTGACAAGCAAATGCTTCAACCATAAGGCTACCCCACAGCCCCTCCATGGTGAAGAGAGCTGAACACATCTGATTGGTGCACTAGGCATGACCAAGGTTTCTGCAAGCTGCCTATCAAAGCACACATATCTCTGCACAACACATATCAATGGCCCATTAGCCTTGAGAAACATGCATGATGGGTATCTGTGGACATGTTGCTTTGCTGGAAAAATAGACTGCCACAGATTCAATCTGACCTGCTACATGGGTCATAGTTGGGAAATATAAGGTCTATGAATAGAACATGAATGCCATAATTATATGCTGATAGAGCAGCACTGGTGAAATGACACAACGCGATGAGCATCAAAATGTGTCATTGGTTGCATTGGAGACTTCCCCAGTTTAGTGATATGCCTATAATCAAGCAGAGATGACAAGACTTTATGGATGATCAACTTCTTTATTTTGACAAAGGGGACATTTTGGTATAGATTCTTATACCGTTTTCAAGCATATGATTCTATGTCGCCATTGTCAAAATAAAGAAGTTGATCATCCATAAAGTCTTGTCATCTCCATACCACCAACTTCTAGAATGCCACTCAAACAAATTATAATCAAGCAGTCTATAATCTAGAAAGTCGGGCTGTATCTGTCTTTAAGTTACTGCTTGGGCACAACAAGTGTAATAAGTGCTGTTTGTTGCATTTGAGACTTTCCATAAGGTTTGGTTGGAAGTGCTATTTTCATCTATCACATACATCCAGCCTTAGGTATACCATTCAAAGAAGTCCCAATTCTTCCATATTGCTACAGCTGATCTGTTATACCACGGTGGTGGTGGCCATGTTAACCAGTCAGGATGTATGTGAGAGTGGCATGAATTCCCTGTAATTATGCATGTTGTTCACGTTATATAATATCTGCATATTTAGTAAGCATCCTGTATCCAGTGAACAAAATGCACCAGCAGTACTTGAGACTGACTGACTGAGTTTGGTTTTACGTCGCTTTTAGCAATATTCCAGCAATATCACGGCAGGGGACACCAGAAATGGGCTTCACTCATTGTACCCATGTTGGGATTCGAACCCGGGTCTTCGGCGTGACGAGCCAACGCTTTAACCACTAGACTACCCCACCGTCCCAGTACTTGAGAAGTGTAACTTACCTGGATAAGGTTAAAATGTCATCAAAAAAGGTCCTCACTTCATAAGTAAATAATCAAGTGAATGAGGCCTAAAGGTCATAGAAATGTAGCTATAATTCTGATAATTTGAGCAAAATAATTTGTCATAAGAACGTAAGTTCAGAGGAATACATAAGGGAGATTGACATTGACTTGGGAGAACTTAAGAACATAAGGGAGATTGATATTGACTTGAGAGAATTTAAGAACATGGTTCAAATGCAAAGATCAAAATCTAAAATACCAAGAAAAACTCATCACTGTGTTGAACCCACTAAATAAACATTGTCAGATTTGCCAGAACTGGCAGCATGAGGCCAGGGAACCAATTGGGTTGTGACGTTTGGTGGAGACAAGCACGTGAAGTGTCAGCTTCATTGTTGAAGTAACTGTTGAAGCACGAAGAATGCTGGACAGAAATGTGACAACAAAACAGCTCAGGTGAGCTAACATCAATCCAGATCTAAAAGTATTATTTGAAAATATGTTATCATGATTACCCAAAATAATAAGTTAATGACAGTTTAGTAAACACTTTGAACAACTAATTTTAATACTATACTCATGGACTGATTGACTGAAAGAGTTTGGTTTTACGCCGCTTTTAGCAATATTCCAGCAACATCACGGCAGGGGGACACCAGAAATGGGCTTCACACATTGTACCCATGTGGGGATTCGAACCCGGGTCTTCGGCAAGTATACTCATGGAAACGAATAAGGGAAACCATGAAAGTGCAAGTGTTCCGTTATTTATTTCCAGATTTTCACCCACAGCGCAATACAAAACATGACAAGAAACCCGGAATAGAGTATGGGGACACTTGCACTTTCGTATGTTCCTTTATTCGTTTCCATGAGTTTATCAACTGTAGAAACATGATGAATTTAATGACATTTGCCTTCAATGGTGGTATTAATGAAGTTTTGATATGCTGTACAGTCTGACCCTGGGCACTAAATGTGGCAAGCATGCATGAGCTATTCCATTCCATTAACTGTTGAAGTTGCCAACAAAATGTTTTGCATAAGTGTCAACAATATGACCAGAATGAACAGTGAGTGTTGCAGACATTTAGTAGCGTATATGACCGAAGATAAGTCGATCGCATAGATAAGCTGACGTCCTAACTTGACCCTTAAAATCAGTATCAAAATGTTCCGTACATAAGCCGAATCACCAACCCTTCGTTCATCGTCTCCTCGTGATTGTCTTCGGAAATGGATTGCAACAAATCCATACTGAATTACGCAAGTAAATCCAGTTGTAACACAACTTAGTAATAAATAGAGATTATTTCACGAGCAAGTGTGTCATATAACTTACACAAAACGAGTGAAATTTTGTATCGCATGAGCGAGAGTGTGGGCATTACATAATTTTGCACGAGTTTTGTATGAGTCATATGACACACTTACTCGAGTGTAATAATTTCTTTATTATCCATTTTATTCAAGTACACATGTGCAGTGAAACATGCTAACCAAGTGTGACGTCCTCTTTACTGACGTCAAGTTCAATTGTTTAATGACGTAACAGACATCTAGCGAGTGAGTTTTACGCCGCACTCAGCAATATTTCAGCTATATGGCGGCGGTCTGTAAATAATTGAGTCTGGACCAGACAAGCCAGTGATCAACAGCATGAGCATCAATACGCGTAATTGGGAACCGATGACAGCGAGCCTCCCGTAAGTTGCCTTTTACGACAAGCATGGGTTACTGTTCTTTGCTCATCTGGACTTACATTCGTAATCAAGCTTACTAATGTTATATTAATTGCCATGAAATCTGTGTTTCTCTGAATTTCATGAGTGAGTGAGAGAGTGATTTTAGATTTACGCCGCACTCAGCAATATTCCAGCTATATGGCGGTGGAAGCAGTTACGTAGTGCTGAACATAAAAAAATACAAATAATAGTCCAAATCAGTTGTGTCTTTTTGGGCTTAGTCATCCTTGGTGGTATTACCCTGTATTCCCCCATTGTCTTAATAATTAATACGATCTGGTGATTTTAATCCTATAACGGTAACAACTGGCAAAAGAGGAACACCCCCTCATGACGCACAACAAGGTCAACAAATAATGTAAATGTAATGTAAATTGGAGTTGTATTTTTTAAAATTCTGTTTTAAGACATATTTTTCCGTACAGCATTTATGTTTCATCACAAAACGCAAATGCAAACAAACATGTTTCTAACGGGCCAGGGGAGAAAGACCACCCCACCCCCTACAAATTCCTAGTCCCCATCCTAGGTAGAGTGGGACCCGGATACCCGGACCCCAGATATCCAGAAACCTCGCATTCCGGTCAATTTTCATTAAATTAAAAAAAAATCTCTTACGTTTTAAAAGTGACTGTCTAAAACGGATATGAGGTTTCCGGACAGTAAATTTTACAAACCAACCGGCTAAATCAACACAAAAGTGACGTCACTTATCTGCATGAAGCTTTGATCTTCCGCTGACCGTGTGAAGTGAAGCAGAGTCCCATGTGTCTTCACACGAGACAAGGTCTGCTAATCCGGATTAATGAACGGTCCGCAGGGAATTGGTGGTGATTAGTAGGCCTATCTAACACGGGTGAACCATTCAGTTCTAACTGTTACATTGTGTATACAGTTGTTAAAGGCTCTTAATGTCCATCAATATAGGTTTGATGATAATGAACAGTTTGGATTTTCCTTGAGGTGTAATGAAAAATCCAGATATTCAGTTATCCAGATGATTTACGCAACAACGAATGAGTCCGAGTATCCAGGGTCTCACTGTATACAAAGTTTAATGGCCAGTCTTCTATACTATGTTTTCCCTTCACATACTACCATCATGATGTGTGTTTCTTGTTATCGGTCCACTCAGCAATTCCAGCTATATTATGCCAGCCTGTAAAACACCGAGTGTAATGACCAAACCCCTTCAGGGCCTCCTACAATGCGGTTGGGTTGTCCAGTACCAAACCTGGAGTCCCCAGACGTTACCGAATTGGTCGTCTCTTATGACCTGCAATAAGTAGCTGGGGGCCAACATGCTCAGGAGTAGAAATGTTTTTAAAAGCATTCTGATCACAGAGTCAACAGTCACCACACTGTAATTTATTGTTTTGTATCACCATAAAATATTACAGTGCACATTAACATACTATCTACATGGCACTCATTGACTGGGGCATTAACAATAGAGTATACTGGTTCATGCTCAGAAACCAACTGAATAAAGGCAAGTTATATGTCATTGCTTAGTAGCTATTAACTCGGTTTGATAAAACAATTTGATTTCTTAAAACTCTCTCAGTGTCCCAGCCACTTATAACAGCATATACAGGTAACCAAAGTTCATCCCATTCTGAAAACAGATTATTTTCCAATATGGTTGCCAGATCAGATGCAAACTTCTGCTGCACAAACAATGATTTAAGCTCAACTGTCTTGTCAGGTGAACTGGCTAAGAATTCATATTTTACAGGGCTCAATAAAACTGAAAAATGTTCAAATGGTAAATGTTCAAATTAATGGAACACCTATGGAAGCCAGGGATGTTCCTGAACCTGGTGAGAGAGTGATATCTGAATGTGTGCATACTTCTATATGCAGTGTTAAAACAACCGTGACATTGTCTGTACAGGTCCAGGTCACGCGCTGACATACACTTGGGATTCACTGATGACACAAGGGAAACCACACACATCCACTACAGCAGGCGCCTCTCTTCATGCAGGTCGGTTTCCATTGAAGGGCAGTGGAGTGGCATCTGTGATGGAGACAACGGTCAGGCCTGCCATCTGCAGTCCTTTCAGGGCAGGCTGGAACAGGGAAACAGTTGACCTGAGTCAGTGGGTCGGCTTTAGTGAAACTTTGAACAGTATTTCGAACTTACGCTAAGCGCCAGCTTGATATGTCGGGAAAGACCAAGTGATGCTGGTCTTTGATGTATCACTTACCAGCATGCATGCATAAAAAAACTGACATTCCAAGACTTTTAAGTGCAAACTGATGCAAAAGTCATTGCATTCCTAAGATGATTTTCAAAGTTGTATTCCCCTAGCAACTTGAATGTTGAAGTAAAAGCATGTCTGGTTTAATTACCCAGGCCTGCAATCTCTGCCCATGAACTCCCAAGGGGTTAAGTGTAAACAGATAAAAACATAATACAATTATGTAGTGTACCGAGGTATTTTGGGTGTCTCCTTCACCTTGACCCTCAATGTTATCCAGTCACATTGGAGAACATAACTTGTTTTGAACTTTGATACTGAAAGCTACGCAAGTCACCACATAATACTACCAATGCCTGACAAGTTCACTTAGGGCAGATAATGATTCACAAAAGAAACCAAGGGATTCCTAATTTGAGAAGGGTATAATCAACCTTTAATGAAGACAGGTGCTTTTATCATCTTCATGCTAATGAAATTACCATTGCTGATTTAGAACGTGGATGAAAAGTATAAACACATTTATATTCAAAAGGGTAGACAGCTGATCAAAGAACCAGTGCCCTTCAGTAAACCTGAAACGACAATGTAGTCCAGCATTCGCTGTTAGCGGCCAGCTTCTTCAGCCCTCATGTATGACACATGTTTGTACACCAACCAGCCCGTACTGTCTTGCTTGCAGGACACTGGTTCAGGCTGTTTGCTGGTGTGTGTTTGTGTTCACTGCTTGAAATGTTTTGTGTCGGGTTTCTTTGGGCAACATGTTCTCCGTCAATCTACCACCAACATGGAGAGATGAGCAATACCTAACCCTTCTTTCATTCAAGTGGCTTGTTACATACTTCAATCCTTCAAAAAATGTTACAGCACAGTGGTAATTTCTGCCGCTGAAACGTTAGACTGTTTAATGTTAGACCGTTGGGTAAGACTAAATAGTTACCATTCTGCCCGGTCCAATGCCCTTGATGCTGACACGAACCTTGGTCACTCCTTTGGACACTCCTTTCTGTAATGAGACATGGGCCTCCTTTCACAAAGCACTAAGGTGATCATAAGTCACTAAGGTAACCTTAGTGCAGTGTTAAAGAATGGGAGTTAAGGTTAACCTTAGTAAAGGTTGCTTCATGAAAGGAGCCCCTGGTGTTACAGTTCCTCACCACATCTGTATCTACCTAGAGACTGTCTCAAGGCCAGAGGGGTGGCGGGGCACAGTTTGCAATACTTTAATATGCCAGTTGGCCATCAGGGCCTGCTGCTGCTGCCTGCAGGCTTTAAAATCTACGAGCCCTGAATGAAATCTGCAGGCCCATTTTATTAAAGTCAAACCAATAAAAACAAAATAGACTACACTGTACACAGTTTCACACTTTCTACAAAATCAACTAGCAAAGCCTATGGTGCAGAGAAACGTTTTTATTTGTTAAAGACTGGTGGTGACATTCCTATGTGCAAAGCACTGGAATACCAGGAAGTGAAACTAAGTTTTCGTAACATGATGGATCATGGATGATTCCTGAACGTTAATAAAGAAAATAATTAAGGGAAATATTCCTGTTGGAAAAAAAGACAGATAATTTACAGAAGGCCACAAGGGCCTGCAAATATCTGAAACTGCCGGCCTTATTTCAAAACGCTGCGGTAGGGTAGCCTAGTGGTTAAGGCGTTGACTTGTCATGCAGAAGACGCGGGTTCAATTCCCCACATGGGCACAATGTGTGAAGCCCATTTCTGGTGTTTCCCGCCGTGATATTGCTGGAATATTGTTAAAAGCGGCATAAAGCTAAACTCACTCGCTCACTCTCAAGGCCAACAAAAAAGTCTCAGTAAATTGAACATCTGGGTCCAAGACAGGCGACTTCACTTTACTTTTATGCATGTTACACTTGTCCTGTCACTGAACAAGTTCAGTAGCCACAAGTCCATCAAAGATGGGGATTTCAATGCTAGACTGGCAAAACCTAACCTCTGACACTCTGAATGTATGATCACGAGAATAGAAAAGTATTATTCACTCTACAATATTGTTTAGTATGGAACATGATTTTATGGATAACAACTTCTTTATTTCGTGAGTGCGTCATTTCGATACAGATTCTTGTACCGTTGTCAAGCAAGAGTGATACATGAAGTGGAGGAGCTGCATATATATACTGTATATAACAATGAAACAACATACATTGTAATTGACAAAAGAAAGAACATAATTGCCATAATTGGTTAAGCAGTAAGCTGATGAAGCCAGTGAGTACACAAAGGATAGTGAATGGAAGCCAGAGATGTATAAATACAGGAGTAGTTACAATGAAGGAGATGTTTATACAATAGGTGCGATGTTTATTCAATAGGTTGGGCTCGGTGGAGGAGTGGATCATAATCTGATGGAATGAAGTATCCTTGGTCACGGTTGATGGTGGGCTTATGGCGTTCGATGTGAATGGCTTCGGTGAGCTTGCGTTTAGTGAAGTCCGTTTGGTTGTTGGCGAGAATGGTGAAGTCAGACCACTCTATTTGATGATTGGGGTTTGCTTTGATGTGGCCTGCCTGTTGGTTCAGGAGTCGGCTGATTTGATGTGATGGCTTACCTATGTAGGGAATGGATATCTTGATGGGGGCTGATTCTGGTTTAGATCGTTTGGCAGGAGGTGAAAGCGTTGCTTCGATGGTTCTGTTGACTATTTCAGGTGGGTAGTGGTTGCGTTCTACAAAGACTTTCCTTAGGTGTTCAATTTCTTCTTGTAGGTTTGTTGAGCAGATGTTTTTGGCTCTTCTGGTCAATGTAGAGATGATGCCGGTCTTGACTTTAGGTGGGTGGTTGGAGTTGTAGTGGATGTATTGATCCGTATGGGTAGGTTTTCTGTACACGGAGGTCTGGAGTTGGTTGCAGGAGGTGCGGGATACAAGGACATCAAGGAAAAAGTAGTTGGTTGTTCTGCTCTGTTTCAATGGTGAATTTGATGCTGGGATGTTGGTTGTTGAGATGGGCTGAGGAGCTGCTTTGGATCTTTGTTGAGGTTGGAGGATGACGAAGGTGTCATCCACTTTATGCGGTACCAGCAGGAAGGTTTGAAGGGTGCAGTTTCTAGGGCCCCTATCTTCAAGGTCGGTCATGTAAATTTCTGTTAGGATTGGGGGTAGTGGGGAGCCCATGGGAAGTCCGTGGATTTGCTCATAGATGGCATCGCCCCAGGTAAAGTAGGTGGAGTTGATGCAGGCGGTGGTGAGGCTGATGATAGAGTCGGTAGAGAGGCTAGTGTTGAGGGGTTGTTGGAGGGTGTCAATTATGTGGCGTAGTGCTTGGAGGGCTTCTTCCCGAGGTACATTGGTGAATAGGTCCACAATGTCGTAGCTGATGATGGGACCTGGGTTGGTGATGTCACGGATCTTGCAGCAGAAGTCAGTCATATTTATCATGCAGCGTTTTTAGCGTGGCCTTATGCTGACGGTTGAGCTTTGTAGTCGGATCCCTCTTCATCCTTTTGTAGGTTGAGGTGTCGTCTAGGAGGTTGTCCACCATGGAGTGGAAGTGGTCCTTGTCCAAGACTACAGTGGCTCTGCCCTTGTCGTCTGGGGCAATGACAATATCACGATGTTGTTTTAGTTGTCTGATGGCTTGTTTATCAGCTGGTGTGATGTTTGGTTTCTGAGGCTGGGCTTTGTGGAGAATACTGGTGATCTGGTGTCGGAGGAAGTCAACCTTTCCACCGGGTGCAAGTTGTTGGAGACCTTTTTCAATGTTGGCGATAAACATGTCCGAGTTGATTTTGGGTGGTGTAGGGGCAAATTTGAGACCTTTGGCAAGGGCACTGACCTGTTGGTTGGTGAGTTGTTTATTGCTGCGGTTGACGACTGTGTTGTGGATGGTTGGTGCTGTGGTTTTCTTGCGTTTGGTTCCTGAGGCAGTGAGTTCTTGTAGTTTCTTGATGTGTCCGGTCTTAGTTGAGGTGTCTAGTTTGTTGTTGGCGGTAGTCTGGGCAGTTCGTAAGGAGGAGAAGAGTTCTGGGTCAAGGGTGGAGCTGAGGGAGGTGTGGAGGTCATTGTCAAGGTCATTGTAAAGCAAGAGTGATACATGAAGTGGAGGACCTGCATATATATACTGTATATAACAATGAAACAACATACATTGTAATTGACAAAGGAAACACTCTTGCTTGACAACGGTACAAGAATCTGTATCGAAACGACGCACTCACGAAATAAAGAAGTTGTTATCCATAAAAACGTGTTCCATATTGTACGTCTCAACTTCTAAAAATGCCACTCAAACAAGTAATATTGTTTAGTTTTGACAGCTCAAACACCAACACTGAGTTCGTCAAATCCATCTAAAAAACCCTTCTTTTTCAAAGTAACTTGAAATGATAAAAGAGAAAGGTAAAAAAGTGTTTTTTCATTGATGGACTTGGACTATCTGACTGTCACTGTTGGAGTCATAAAACTACCATCAAGGTATAAATTGTCATTGCCAGGGGCTTAGCGCTACATGAAAGGAATTGTATAGTGCTTGCATGGGGCTGATTGTTTTACATGCCCCTGTGCTTCCAACATGAACATTAGTATTACAAGCCCCTGTGGTTAGAAGCATCTCACTGACCTCTCCAAGTGCCAAAGCAGCTGCCTGTCCGGCAACATTGGTCCCCTTCCTGGTGTTCCGAAACCCCACAGAGCCCTGCAACACCCAAGCATTTACAAGTGAAACACTTCTCTCTTTTCCAGGCTACAATGTACAGCAGTTGTTATCAAACTATCATATAATCACTGACTATTTGTTCTTCAAAAAGATGGTAAAGCAGTTTGTTTGATACAAATTTTGATGAATAAGTTTGCTCCTCTTATACTCACCCCACTTTCACTGGCCATCGCCATTCCTACAACACAAGCAGGTCAATACATTAGTGTTTATTCACAATCTGAAAAAAATGGGCATTAAAGATGAGAGTCTTCCTGTCATTTGTTTTATCAATTTAGAGTTGCATTATTCCATTATGAACAATACCACCACATGACGCCAGGGATTCTCAATCATACAACATACATTCATATGGTGAACAAACTTGCTGCTGTGGGTAATCCCTCCATTAACCGACAAACAATTCTTTCATCACCATTCGAACATAACTATTGCAAGTCTTACCAACCAAATTCTAGTACAGCTCCTTAAATTAATCAGTCTTTATGTGAGACCATTCCTGTCATGGACCTGACAAACCAATACCCAATTCAAGCTACCACTACCCTTCCTCCCCTTCCCCAAACATCATGTGACAAGGGCTGACCAATGAATGCTTTAGTCATCTCTTGTTGCCATGTCTCAAGAAACTAATCCTGTTATTACTTCATAAGGTACTTTTATTATGTTTATAGTATGTATACAGCCAGTAAACACAAGCATCTTGTTACTGTTCTAAACCTCTGTCACCATATAGGCCTACCTTCCCCATTTGTGAGAGTGACGATTGTGTTGTTGTGTGTGGCCTTGACATGGACGATGTGAAGCTTGTCAAACCTGACCCCATCTACCAGCATCCCTGCAGTCTCCATTGTCGGATACACCGAGCCGGGGCTGAAGGGAGATAGATGTACACGTCACATGTAGCCACAGTTATCACAACAGTGGAGCAAGACCTGTGATATATAATGTAATGTAAGTTGAACTTACTAAATGTTGTCAATCTAACACTTGATGAAGTTCAAGATATTCTCCTCTCTCTCGATCCATCAAAAGCTACAGGACCAGATGGAATAGGAAACAGATTTCTGAAAGTCATGGTGAAAAGTTTAGCTCCTCTATTAACAAAACTATTTAACTTGCCTCTTCAGAAATTCACGTTTCCAGCCGTCTGGAAAGAAGCGTCAGTCATGCCTCTCCATAAAAAAAATAGTGTAAATGAACGTTCCAATTACAGACCGGTCGCACTTACGAGCTGTTTGTTTTAGAAAAAATGTGGTTTTAAACATGCATTTAATTACTTTAGAGACAATGATGTTTTAACCAATTTACAATCAGGTTTTATGCCAGGCAACTCTACCGTTAACCAATTAACTTATTTGCATGATTTTATAGCGAAAGGACTTGATGAAGGTAAAGAGGTCAGAGCTGTTTTTGCGACATTAGTAAGGCATTTGATAAGGTATGGCACAAGGGCATCATTTCTAAACTTAAAAACTATGGCATTGGTGGATCACTTTTGAATTGGTTTGAAATGTATTTACAAAACAGATCACAAAAAGTCGTCATTAATGGATACAGTTCCGAATATAAACCTGTACTTGCTGGCGTCCCACAAGGTTCCATATTGGGACCCTTACTTTTTATTGTATACATAAATGATTTAGTAGATGGTATAAAAAGCCACATACGTTTATTTTCTGACGACACCTCACTTTACGTAATTGTAGATGATCGTGATACTGCCGTATCCTGTCAGAATGATGATTTAAACCGTACAGTCAAGTCGCGTTAATCCGACCTCCGTTTATCCGACAATCGGCTTTATCCGACTCTTTTGTCGTTAACAAATTGGCTGATCTTGATGCGTTTGAAAATATTCAACAAACTCTCGGGAAAATCACGAGCAAGGCTGAATGTCAGAAAAGCATCAAAGACTTTTTTGTTAGGAAAACAGTGTACTGTACATGTATCATACGGGTTTCGTCATAGGTTTATGGAAGCGTGTACATGAATGTGAAACATGTGAATAAATGGTTTTATTCGTAAAATTTATACATGTGGTTGTTATTACACATGAGGTTTATAAATGTTGTGCATTTTTATGTTATGTGCTAATAAAATATATGAACTCTGAATTAATTTTCGTTTTAGTATTATTTACAGTAACTTTGGGAATATGAATCATGATTGTCCTGTTTTCGATCATTGACGTGATCTGTCCTCCGAATTCGATAATCTGACATCCTCGATAATCCGTCAATTTGCTGTGCAACGGACGATGTCGATTAACGCGATTTGACTGTATATCTAGCTGGGCAGACAAGTGGCAAGTTACCTCCAACCCTGATAAAACCGAAACAATAAATTTTTCTCGTAAACATAAAAATGATACGATTCCGACCTTGAACATGAACCAAACCCTGATACGAGAAGTGGAAAGTCATAAACACCTAGGTATATCTCTACAGAGTTATTGTTGATGGAAAGGTCATATTGAAGATATTGTTAAGAAAGTTAGCCCCATGATAAACTGTCTGCAAAGTTTTAAATATCACCTCTCCAGAAAAACGCTAGAAACCATGTACAAATCGTTTGTGATGCCGATATTTGACTATTGTTGTCATATCTGGGATAATTGTACAAATGATCAGTCCCTTATTCTTGAACGGTTACATCGAGATGCACTTCTTACAACATGCGGCGCATTTCGTGGCGCTAGTCATCATAGGTTATATATCGAAACAAAGTCTAAACCATTAAAAGAAAGAAGGCGCGACATTAAACTAATACATTTTTACAAGATGAATAACGATCTCGCACCTGACTACCTCTGTGACCTTGTCCCTATATTTGTCTCTGAAAACAGTCAATATTATCTCCGTAATAAATTTATGTTATAAACAATAAAGTGTAGGACTAAAATATATGAAAAGTCGTTCCTACCTGACACAATTAAAATTTGGAATTCATTACCTGATAATTTAGTATTCGCTAACTCAGTTGGTGAATTCAAATCTCTGCTTAAAAATGATGAATAAAATAATTATCTAAATCATGGCAGTCGATTCTGTCAGATCGTACACTGTTGACTTAAGCTTGGTTGTAATGATTTGAATGCGGATAAAGTAAATAGACATATTTCGAACAACCCTGGATGCGCTTGTGGATACCACAATGAAGATACTGTTCATTATCTTTTTACATGTAAGTTATACACTGCTATTAGAAATAATACCTACTTCTATGTAAATGCCCACAATCTCCAAACTGTGTTATACGGAATACCTCCGGCAAACAACAATGTCAATAAGAACATAATAGAGTCCCTGCATCAATACATCTTTAAGTCTAAACGATTGATAAATTATTCTAGACAATTATATGCAATCAATTAGTGAAGTTTAACTGCAAGCTGAAGGTTTATAAGCACCTACAACGCACATATATGAATTAATTTGTCGGTTTTGTATCCAGTTCTTGAGTATTTTGTTTAAATGATATCTGTACTGGTGAGGTATTGATATAAGCAGAATTCTGCTTGTTTACCAAACCAGATTCTCTAGAAATAAAAACATGTTTAAAGCATATAATGTATTATACACCAAGCCTGGGCTGAGGCAGACAGATGTACACATGTAACCATGGTTATCACAACAGTGGAGCAAGACCTGTTTTCTTTCCTCCTGTTTTATACACAAGAGAAGGGGCTGCAGTGAGATACATAGTGTGTTACACGAGTATTACTTTGGTACCAATTATCACACAACAGCCTCCAAAAGAACCCCTGAAGTTATGCTGCTCTTTGCAATCAGTGAGTGGTCAACAAATTGAGAGGAGGAAGTGTGTTGGGTTGATTTTTATGCCAGTTGGCAGGTGGACAACATAATGTGTAAACTGACTTTGATGCCACCTTGGACAATATTCCGGAAATCATGGTTAGGGAACTTTATACTGCTTATATCACAACAGATGGTCAACAGAGTGAGTGAGTGAGTGAGTGAGTGAGTGAGTGAGTGAGTGAGTGAGTGAGTGAGTGAGTGAGTGAGTGAGTGAGTGAGTGAGTGAGTGAGTGAGTGAGTGAGTGAGTGAGTGAGTGAGTGAGTGAGTGAGTGAGTGAGTGAGTGAGTGAGTGAGTGAGTGAGTGAGTGAGTGGAGTGAGTGAGTGAGTGAGTGAGTGAGTGAGTGAGTGAGTGAGTGAGTGAGTGAGTGAGTGAGTGAGTGAGTGAGTGAGTGAGTGAGTGAGTGAGTGAGTGAGTGAGTAGTGAGTGGCAGCTATGGTGTGACTGCATGAAGGTTGGTCCCAGGGTCTATGATTCCATTCCACAATGGATTCACCTTAGGTATCCATTGTAACAACTGATCTCCTTTTCCATCAATTCTCAATATCTGGACTTGGACCTGTCCCATGTTTATTGCCACTGAATTCCAATGGACATTTGATGGTATAAACATCATAAACAAAGACAAAAAACAAATATTAATAGATAACATAGATACAAAAACACATTGTCCAAACTTTAAATTAGATATGAATGTCATTTCAACACATAGTTGAAAAAAGCAGTTTCACAAACTCACCGAAATTCTTCCACCTCGATGTTTTCATCACCAGAAAGAGGTTCCGTTTTCTGGGCTAACAAGAACTTTTTATGCCGGTTGTCCTTGTCCAGGACTGTTAGCAGTGGAGACGAGTGAAGAACTGCTGTCTGTCCACATCCACCTGGCAAAATAATCATTTCATATGTTGCTTTAAAACATCATTCTTTATGACAACACACTGGAATGTTAGTTGATGTGTCCTGTTTTTTTATTTTTGGAAACATAATTGCGTTATTATTGTGGCTAGAGTCTAAAGTATTGTAATCTGTGGTGGTGTTTTGGCTGAATTGAATAGACATTATGGCAGTTAAAGATTTTGAGAAAAGTCTACAAAATTGCTTTGACTGTTAGCTTCAGTGAGTAGATCTTGCACAACATTTTTTCTGAGAAATGTTAGCATTGTCAAATGAAGTTGGTTTGTGAATGAGTGAGTGAGTGAGTTAACATTTCTATAGTCTGTTTGGGTTCAAATGAGAACAACAAATGATTAAATAACTCGAAATTGGGATAAGTGCACAAAACATACATAAGACACTCGGTCCTGAAACCTCTGTACCCAACAGGATCTGAAATCTGACGTTTTTGATCGATCACGGAAAAAGTTGTTTAAGAAGCTTTCATGTAATAGACCGGGAAGTAGACATTTGTTATTAAAGTAAAAATCCTTTGATGTTGGGGGGCTGACTGTGCATGTTGTTTTAAGGGATTAACATTCTGGGTTATACTAAATTCTGAACTACCTAACGAAATAGATGATATAAACTCACCCTGTTATCACTTACATGATTGAAATCAATCAAGTTGATATGAACTCTCTAAGTTTGACAATCATTGACTGACATTGATTGACACTGATTAATATAAGTGAACACCAACTCAACAATTTTGATACATAATATGCTGGCCATACTTTCAAATTCATCACTTTCATTATAGCAAACCAGCAGTTACAGTATACGTTCATTCCGACTTCACGAGGTGGTAGATATCTATGTATCGATGGGTACATGTTCAGAACGAACCGTAAGAGAAATGCTGAATCTCAATAGGCACGGTGATTCTCTATGTTCAGCTGGTAATGAATTCCATAATGTAACAGTATCTGGAAGAAAGGACCTCGCATAATTTACAGATTTACAGTTTATAGTCTGAAGATTTGGATCCCCGCGCAGAATATAACCAACGATATCCGATACTCTAGGCAGAACAAGGTTACTAAGGTAACTTGGCATAGTGTTATTAACCATTTTGTAAAAGATAGTCATTTTATGAAGGTACCTTCTACGACAACGGGTAACGTTGTATTTCTTTGTATATTTTATGATGGCTGGTACCACAAACAGCACCACACACGGTTCTTAGAGCATCAAGACTGAGCTTTTCAAGTATATCTGCTTGCTGTTTAAAGTACTGTCGGAAATGCTAGAAAAATGCTTTTGACTTATATTTAAAATTCAGAGGTATTACAGTTACTTAAATAAGAAATATCACTTCAAGAAACATCTACCTAATGTAGACCGAGGGAATAAATTTTGAGACATGCTCTAAAATGTGTTTTTACTGATGAAAATACCCAAAACTTAGAAAAATAAGGGGTAGTGTGGCATTATTTGATACAAACATTAATTGCCTGTGATACGTCATCAGCATCCACGGTATCGACAGGTGAAATTGACACCTGAGCACAGGCTCGTGCGTGTGGTCATCTCAATAGATGTTTTCTGCAAAATGTTGAATATGTGTACGTATAGTATGCGTATAGTATACGTATCGGTTATGTAAGGGATCATTTGTGTATGTGTGTTTGTTTTGAAATAAACATACTAATTACTGTACATTGGAAAGAATCCTATCACTTGTGTGATCTTATCGACTGATTGTAGACATGTGCAACGTTTTAATAAATGTTTTGCATGTCAACAGTATATTTCATTGAAAAAATATGGATGTAACTCGGTCAGTTTAATCTATTTGTGAACATTGGCCAAAGATTTAACGAAGTCACTGGTGTAGCTTCTTTAGAATATATAAAGTTTGTAGACCGCCCGTCTAAGCACTCCCTTGTCAAAGTTGTCAAGGATGGTTTCACGTGCCAGTTTTGAGACGGTCCCTGTCTTGTCTGATTTGTTTACTATATTGTAAACTTGTTGGTAAGACATGCCAACAGCTCTACAAGTTCTGTAATAAACCCTTTCTAAACTAATGAAAGGTTTACCTCTGTCTTTTTTAAGCAGAAAAAAACTATAAACCTTTGCAACAATCGACTGCAAATCGTTGGCCATAGTGGACACTCTGATAAAAATGTGCATGCAAGACGGGAAACTTATTTATCAAGACTTAACATTTATATTAATATTTCTTCAATAAAGAAACGATAATTAAGTAAAGTAACACAAACATTCAACATTTATTTGTTTAGGAAAAACGTTAAATTCATATTTTTACACCACCTGTATTATTAGCATAAATGTAAAGACTATTTCAGATTTCTGTTGTTGAACTAAAAAAATCTTAAGTTGCTGTTTTGGTACCAAATTCTCTCCTGTAAACTGCCCTTTAAATGCATGGGAATGTTAAATCAATTAAAATAACAATTAGGTAGACAATAGGCGAGTTGATATATTGACAACATAGTTCATTTATCACCTTTATAAAGATATTAAGGCTAAAAAGCATTTTTCTAGCATTTCCGACAGTACTTTAGTACAATTATCCCATATATGACTGCAATAATCAAAAACTGGTAATATGAACTGTTTGTACATGGTTTCTAATGTTTTTCGGTTTAAACGATATTGGAGACTTCTTAGACAATTCACCATTGGTGCAACCTTTTTAGCACAGTCGTTAATGTGTTCATTCCAAGAGCAATCATGCTGAAGTATAAGACCTAAATGTTTATGGCTTTGTATGAAATTAATGACATTACCATTCATGGTTAGGTTCGGCATTGGAGATGGTTGCAATTTACGAGTAAAGCACATTGACTCTGTCGTATTGGGATTAAAAGATACTTGCCATTTTTCTGCCCATTCGGCAATTCGCTGTAAATCGTTCATCTCATTAGCAGTAGTGTTGGGAATCGGTTAAAATCTCGTAATTGATGATTGGTTCATTACAACTGATCAATCATCGAAAATAATTGGTTAGTGTCATTTATAAAATTTTCCTGGTTATATTTGTTTATGCACATAAAATAAAGAATATACATGCAGTTCCTTGGGGTGATTTTTGCAAATTGCACATCTTTAAAAGATGACTAGTATGTTAGGAACATAAATTTCTTGTCGTCTTTAAAATAAATTCAGTTGTGACTTGGAACGAGCATGTAGTGTTCATGAAATGTAACACACAAAACCAACCGTGTGAAAAATATTGTTAATGCAAAAAGTGTTCCAGAATTGTTTGTGTTCGATTATGAGAAAACATGATCGATTGCTTGGACGTTTAGTCATTGTGACCAATCTTCGATTTTTTCAATTAATCGGACCACCACTAATTAGCAGTTACCCCAGGATCATCAATGATAGCATATAAAGAAGTATCATCTGCAAAAAGGTGTATATTGCTATTTATACCTTCAACTATATCATCTATATAAACAATAAACAAGAGCGTCCCCCAAAACAACTTTATTATCAGATCTATATCCATTAATTATGACAAGTTGTTCTCTATTTTCAAAAAACTCTCAAACCATAAGATAATAATATTTCCACATTTCTGCATGTTTTCTAAGTGAATATAAATTATATCTAAACTAATACTGTTTTGATTTTTTGCTTTTAGTAGTTTTAGGTTGAAGACGTATGGCTCAACGCCCTTGCCGATATGCCAGACGACCCTCGCTGTCTTCAGCTTGACGACTATGTGACGACGTCCTGGGTTGAAGGTGATCTACCAGTCCACTCATGGAACCACTATGAGACAACAGGACCACAGACGAACAACCATCTGGAAGGGTGGCATGGACGTCTGAAGAAGATTGTATCCAAGGCTCATTCAAATTTGTTTGTGATGTTGTCTTTTCTGCGGTCAGAACAGAAACTGAATGAAATCTGCCAGTCCAGTATGGTGAAAGTATCTTGAGTGTTTCTAAATTCACTATATTGTTGTTGGCAAATAAGTTGGTTTGTTTCAGATTTCTTCAATTTAGTTAATGTTAGCTCAATCTTTGGCCGTACTAACTGCCATGGTGGAAAAGAGAAAAGCTGAGTTGGGGCTATATTTTCTACATTGATTTTTGCTTCAGAAACAGCAGATTATATTCTTATTCCAAGTGGTGGAACGAGTGATGATTTGTTATTGTAGAGTTCTTTATGAAGATGATTAAAACACAGTCCTATGCAGGGCTGGATATAGTAGAGTGTAATTTAGAAACATACTGTAAAGATAATTCAAGACGGCATAGTTTTAGCAATGGCTCATCAGCCACTACATGAATCTGTGAGGTTCTGAAGGCTCCAAGGAAAAGCCTTAGGCCTTAGCGATGGATTGAATATAATTTAGTCTCTTTTGTTAAGTAATTTACTTCCTGGGACCGTGAGAAGATGTTTAGTTAAGTGGTATTGTTTACTTATCCGAGTTTAGTTAATCAGACTCTAATAGTGATAATTAATGAAGAAATTTGCCGGGACCAAAGAATAGCGTCTACTTATCTAGTCTGTTTAGTTAGCGGTCTTTACTTAGGCAGTTTATAATCTAGTTTTAAATTGCTGTTACAACCCCCACCATAAATGATGAAGTCGTAATCCAGTTTAGAATGGATTAGAGCTCTGTACACATTATACTGACTCCGAGCCGACCAGTCCTTGTCTTACCCATTTATGCCGAGCGCCAGGCAGGGATCAACAAGTACCATATTTAAACTCTTTTGGTATAACGCGGCAGGGGACCCTGTACAACTTTAATAGGTGTACTATCTAACTATAGTTGGTCTGTGATGCATTCAAACTTCTCACCTGGACAGACTGGCTGCAGCCTCATCAAAGGAACAACACAGGTGAAAGGTCGTCTCAGACCGATAAGCACAGAGCGAAACATGACTAACTTGAAAAAATCTCAACTTCTGAAAAACAAGACAAATCAAAGATTAAATATCAGCAGATGATAAACTGATGACGTTAAACTCAATACACATAATAAATCTTGCTAATGAAAAAAGCATAAACCTTAAAATCTACAGGCCCTGAATGAAATCTGCAGGCCCATCTTGTTAAAGTCAAACCAACACAAAACAAAATAGACACTGTACACAGTTTCACACTGTTTCTACAAAATCAATTAGCAAAGCCTATGGCGCAGAGAGACGTTTTTATTTGTTAAAGACTGGTGTTGACATTCCCATGCTTTGCGCAGAAGTGAATCAGTACGTTATCGCAACATGATATGGATCATGGATGATTCCCGAAAATTAATAAAGAAAAGAATTATGGCAAAGATTCCAGTTGAAAAAAGAAAGGACATATAATTTACTGAAGGCCACTACTGAAGGCCACAAGGGCCTGCAAATATTTGAAACTGCCGGCCTGAACAATAACAACTGGCGCTGTCCCTATATTCTGCAAATATTTAAAACCGCCAGCCCTACCTCGGCTGTGCCTATATTCTGGCCGATTATTTCGAACGCTGCGGCGAATGGGATTGGGTGGTACGGCTCGCTGACTTGGTTGAGACATGTCATCGTATCCCAAATGCATAGATTGATGCTTATGCTGTTGATCACTCCATTGTCTGGTCCAGACTGCCGTCTGCTGTGCCGTCTGCTGTGTGCAGCATTAAACAACAAACCAACCAAAACTAATCTAAATAAATACCCAGTCTGCATCAGATGTTTACTGATACAACATTCATTGCATTGGTTTAGTATACAGACATCTCTACAAACATGGGTTATTCACTATAACAGAATATCTCATGCCATCCAAACAAGTTTAGTGTGAGTTTAGTGTGAGCTCCCGGCCTAGCTGTTTGCTCCTGACAGACTGACAGAGGGAGCCCGATTACCTGGGTTATTTTCAAAGAGGAAATGGTATTAGGACATTTTCATGGTTGTATTGACACAAAATTCTTCCGTTTATTTACCAAATTTGAAAAAATACTTTGGTGTAAATATAGACTCTGTTCGCCCCCAGGCTTGCGGTTTGAGTTGATAATGTAAGATTAGGGTAAAGCTAAAGGTAGCCTAGAAGTTTAGCCGGGTGACCGTGGGGCTCCGAATCTTCACACAGTTCATGGAATGCGGTCGAGTTCTAGAAAAATGAATCCATATGAAACGTATCTACAGAATTTCTCCAACGTGCTGGCCTTGTAACGTGCACATTAATAACCTCTTATGCTAACTGTGTCATATTCACCTAGTTTATGGGTCGACCTCATGCAACACCATGTTTCGCGACAGGAACTGAGAGTTACCTGCCCTTACCATTTTTCATTCGGAAGATCTCGTACATATCCGTCATCACTCGGCACACGTCAATCACACCTATTCGAGACCAACACGCATTACATCTGTTCATTAAGTTTGAATCCCTTCCATTGTTGTTTTCAACAGTTAAAATTTCACGATATAAAATTTCTGCGACACACTGAGTTTATAATTATGACTTTGTATTTTATTCCTTGAATGAGTAATTTTAACACCAATGATAGAATTGAATGAATCTTATAAAAATATGAGATCTTAATTCTCTATAGAATATGCCCTTTAACGAGAAAGTTTAATCCCAAACATAACATATGTTACATAATCAATTCTCGCTTTCGAAGTTACGAAAGGTCGTTCGTTGCTACTTTGGAATCCTACCTAATTTCGACCGCACACTGTCAAACATATAGTTGTGTCGAACTGAGATTGGTCGAACTAAGTCGAAGTAAAGACTTCGTATTATTTCTTTGTTATTTTAACCATTTCTATTATGCCGAACCTCGGAAAACGCAGTAGGTCACATCAACTTTGATTGTAATTTTACTATATGTAAACATATACATTATCTTGCTGTCAACGATCCTAAATAGCTCTGACAGTAAAATACCACACTGCAGTTTTTGCTGACAATCTGACAGTCGAGAAATCTAGATTGAACAAGATTGGTTTTTGAGACATTTCAAGGGTCCACTGGACTACGGCTTGGTGTGTTGGTAGTGTCCAGGGTCTACTGGACTACGGCTTGGTGTGTTGGTAGTGTCCAGGGTCTACTGGACTACAGCTTGGTGTGTTGGTAGTTTCTATGGTCTACTGGACTACAGCTTGGTGTGTTGGTAGTGTCCAGGGTCTACTGGACTACGGCTTGGTGTGTTGGTAGTGTCCAGGGTCTACTGGACTACAGCTTGGTGTCTTGGTAGCGTCCAGGGTCTACTGGACTACAGCTTGGTGTGTTGGTAGTTTCCAGGGTCTACTGGACTACCGCTTGGTATGTTGGTAGTGTCCAGGGTCTACTGGACTACGGCTTGGTGTGTTCCAGGGTAGTGTCCAGGGTCTACTAGACTACGGCTAGGTGTGTTGGTAGTTTGTGGACTACAGGGTCTACTGGACTACGGCTTGGTGTGTTGGTAGCTCCAGGGTCTACTGGACTACAGCTTGGTGTGTTGGTAGTGTCCAGGGTCTACTGGACTACAGCTTGGTGTGTTGGTAGTGTCCAGGGTCTACTGGACTACGGCTTGGTGTGTTGGTAGTCCAGGGTCTACTAGGACTCGGCTTGGTGTGTTGGTAGTGTCCAGGGTCTACTGGACTACGGCTTGGTGTGTTGGTAGTGTCTCCAGCTTGGTGTGTTGGTAGTTTCCTCTACTGGACTACAGCTTGGTGTGTTGGTAGTGTCCAGGGTCTACTGGACTACAGCTTGGTGTGTTGGTAGTGTCCAGGGTCTACTAGACTACAGCTTGGTGTGTTCTCCAGGGTCTACTGGACTACAGCTTGGTGTGTTGGTAGTGTCCAGGGTCTACTGGACTACAGCTTGGTGTGTTGGTAGTGTCCAGGGTCTACTGGACTACGGCTTGGTGTGTTGGTAGTGTCCAGGGTCTACTGGACTACAGCTTGGTGTGTTGGTAGTTTCCAGGGTCTACTGGACTACAGCTTGGTGTGTTGGTAGTGTCCAGGGTCTACTAGACTACAGCTTGGTGTGTTGGTAGTTTCCAGGGTCTACTGGACTACAGCTTGGTGTGTTGGTAGTGTCCAGGGTCTACTAGACTACAGCTTGGTGTGTTGGTAGTGTCCAGGGTCTACCAGACTACAGCTTGGTGTGTTGGTAGTTTCCAGGGTCTACTAGACTACAGCTTGGTGTGTTGGTAGTGTCCAGGGTCTACTGGACTACAGCTTGGTGTGTTGGTAGTGTCCAGGATCTACTGGACTACGGCTTGGTGTGTTGGTAGTTTCCAGGGTCTACTGGACTACAGCTTGGTGTGTTGGTAGTTTCCAGGGTCTACTGGACTACAGCTTGGTGTGTTGGTAGTGTCCAGGGTCTACTAGACTACAGCTTGGTGTGTTGGTAGTTTCCAGGGTCTACTAGACTACAGCTTGGTGTGTTGGTAGTGTCCAGGGTCTACTAGACTACGGCTTGGTGTGTTGGTAGTGTCCACGATCTACTGGACTACAGCTTGGTGTGTTGGTAGTGTCCACGATCTACTGGACTACGGCTTGGTGTGTTGGTAGTTTCCAGGGTCTACTGGACTACGGCTTGGTGTGTTGGTAGGTTAGTTTCCATGGTCTACTGGACTACGGCTTGGTGAGTTGGTAGTTTCCAGCGTCTATTGGACTATGGCTTGGTGTGTTGGTAGTTTCCAGCGTCTACTGGACAACGACTTGGTGCGTTTTCAGGGTCTTCGTGTTGTGGTCTCCCATGACGCTCCTTGAACTGCAAGCACAGTGTCCATGGATCACATTCTTCTTCATACGTCAATACGTATTATTAGATAGATTTGAAACTATTTAGCTGTCCAGGCTGTCTATGCAAATTGATTAATTACAAGCTCAATAACCCCGTCACGTCGAAGCACAACGTGACCCACATAGTCAGTAAAGAGACTCACTGTGGTCTGCAACTCATTCCCGCATCACATGATGCTGTGCTCCATACGCATTCGAAATGGACTCGGATGTTCGTATTGAAGATGTTCTCGAAGCTCTGGGAACAAAGAAACGGTACCACATCTGCCAGTATGTATGGCTCTTCCTGTCCATGTTAACGGCTACGTACGGGGTACTAGGCTACATCTTCTTGGGTAAGTTACTTTGTGCACGACCAGGTACTAAATCTTGTTTATTGGGGAGTGGGTATATAGGGGTGGGGAGATCGGCGTAGCCCAGCCGCCTCAGGCGCCACGATCTTCTGTAGAGGGTCGCGTCCTTCAGGAATATCAGAAACCTTTGGTCATGTGTTCGAATTCCAGCTCGGGAAGATTATGTTTCTAGGTTTGTAAGCACGGTAGCTGTGCTCGTGAGTTACACATAAATGGCGAATGCGTGATATCTTCACTTCGAACTTTCCTTCCACATTAAGATGGCTCGTAATGGTAGAATTGAAGTTCTATTTTAAGCGACGTTTAACTCACATACGCATTCCTGGTCCATGACAACGTGTCAGTTACAGGACGCTACGTTTCGTTGTATACCTTTTTCAGTAAGGCATGCCTCGCTTACAAAGCTGAGTGTTATGTCAATACCTAGAAATCGTGATAACACTAACAATAGGAGCTAATGTGACTGAATTTAGTGTAAAAAATACATCACACCATGTTGCAAAGATCAGCTACGTCCATCAACATTAACATAGAACTTGGTAGATCAACTGTTTCTATACAAATGCAATTAAACGAAAATATTTTCTATTGTAAATGTCCTTCTTGAAATTCGGCCTGTTCTACTGTACAAATGTTTACAAATTCTTTTAGCCATGATGCCAATTACTGATGTATACACTGCATCTCGTGGATCCCATACCTGCTATTGACAGGTGTCGTGTACTTGTCAATGACTCGTTCCATGATTTGCAAAATGGTTGATTGCCGCCATGAAAACCATTTTTATGGTTACTCATGTATCAAGTGCATAAGGTTTGATTAAAGTGGCTGTTTGCCTAAAGAAGGGTTACCGTAATATTATTTATCCAGTTTTAAATGGATACAATTTCAAATTATAAATCTATGTTTAAGTAGAGTTGGGAATTTTTGTGATTCTTAGCAAAGTGTGAGTAGTATGTATAATTTGATGACGACACTGTCCAAAAGGGTTTACCGAAATAGTTATCTGAATTCCACTTGTCACGGCGACATTTGTATACACGGAATGATTCCTAGTATATTTCCTAAACATACAGTACAGAGAGCCAACAAATAGTTCATTACATATTGTTTACCTTCCTATAAACATCACTCATTACTTGATATTTCCCAGTTGCCTTCCAATATTCCAATTCGTCACTGCTCTGTCTATTTCGTGCCTATATATCTACGTTAAAGTTGTATCACGATTATCTTCGTGTAATAAAGTTGTATCACGATTATCTTCGTGTAATACTGTGAACTTAGAGTGTTGTTAAATATAAGGTTGAAAAACGTTGTTGTTTTGTCGCGTGTGGTTACTGAACTGTATCAGAAACTTGATAAAACGTTTTTATAAATAATGTACGTCCCGTGAGTTATGTTTCCGTATATATTTTGTTTTGTTCGTGTCAAACATTTCAAAATATCTCTATTCCTTTCATTCAGAGGATAGTTTCCCTGTGATCTATTATTTCTACTATGGCTACAATCATTGTTAACTCGGTGGATTTTTGTTCGTATCTGAAAAGTGAACGTTGTGCGAGAATAGCGGTCGCGCGGCATTGGATCTACAATGTACCTATGGCTCTAAAATAACACAGAAATGTACCATTGCGAATTGCCTATTTCTTGGTGTTATTTCAAGTGCAAAAACTCAATTTAAACACAGTTAAGTGCAATTTTTGTTATGCTTTTAAAAAAGTACATTTCTCTAAGTTTTAGCATGCACTCATTAATTAAAGTACCTTGCTATGTTCTATTTGTCATCTTTACGGAAACTATGAAACACCAAATATATTGCTATCGGAGCGAATTATAATCGAAGAAAAATTAATTATATGTATATAATTGGTTATTTATGTTTACGCATAACGTTTTACATTCAATATATAAAATGGCTTACCATAAATGGCGAAAATTGATGCGGCCAGCATAGTACCTCTGCCATAAAAAAATCTTCAAACCTACGCTTAAAACTTCTCCTCTGGTAATACGATCTGATGTACGCCTTTTTGTAGCAGTGCTACCGGCTTGGGTGACACTGCTACAAAGAGGCATACATCAGACCGTGACAGGCGTGACACATACACACGCACGTACACCCTTTTGTCCTGAAAGTTTATTAATTGACCATTGAAACTCGTGAAAATGAATTGTGCACCCCTCCTTACCCTAGAGTGTGCACCCCACCTTTCTAAAAAAGCTGTATCCGCCCCATCCTCGATAATCTCCAGGGTATACGTTACGATCACGCTCCACTATACCCTGGATGCATCCACGGCTTGGCACGATAATTATATTACCTCCCTTTGCTGGCTCCGCATTCTCACAGTAGCCAATCAGCTAAGCCGCCGTTACATCCGAGCTTGCCAGTGTCAACAAAGATAGCGGTCGCAGTCGCGAAGGTTTGTTCGCAGTGCCACTCAGATTTTTGAGGAAATAATACAGACAAATTGACAGATCTGAAGCTTTCAAAAAATATATAAAAGAACTCCTCCTACCTCTTTCAGAGTACCTCTGCATCAATTGTGTAGCCAAGTTTAAACGGTTAGATAATTTAAGAAGCGAAAGTGTGTGAGTTGTGATTGGTTTGCTCAACTTCCCAGCGTAGACGCCTGAGTGGATAAAATCATCGGGCCAAGCCGTGGATGCATCCAGGGTATTGTGGAGAGTGATATTAACGTATACCCTGGAGATTATCGAGGATGTATCCGCCCCTGCATCTAAAGTGCCCAGTAGTGGCATGCGCACATTTAGTACTGTGTAATGACATACACGTAGATCTTAACGTGTACAGTGAAGACCCGTTAGTCCGGACTCCGATAATCCGGATGTCTCGCCTCCCGGACGATTTTAGCTTGTTACCAATCTATGCCTATGTAGTGTTATAATGATTATTTCACTATCCCTCATTCCGATGATAGTTTGTAAACAGTAATCCATATAGGTCGGTTATTTTGGGTAGTTATGAGTTCCCTCGATAAAGACTGCTAAGAAATGAATTTTAAAATGACCTCTACCATGTTTGAAATGTTGAAAGTTGGACCGATAAAAACAGACATTGAAGATATTAAGATACCCACCAGCTGTTGTGCGAAGTGCATCATTACAAGGTTTAAATCAAAGCATATTTAAAAATTTAACCCCATAGAACTATTCATGTGGTGCCAACTCAGAGTCTGTTAAGTATATTTTGGGATGCAATATCGATAACTCAGGATATTATATACTGAAACTCAAACATATCACAAAATCAACTGCAATGTATAGTTTCCTTCGCTCGTCATTCTATACTTCCCAGTATTGTGATAACCTAATCCTTGTCGGGCGTTCGATTTGCGTGGCCGGTGAAAATGGCAGAGAAACTGAATATGCTTCCTATATAGACTGGTGTGCTGTTGTTTCAGGTAAAACAGTACCCAGCCAATGTGCTACCTTGTCCGCCCAGTCCATCGACGGCATCCTAGCGTCAATAAACGTCCCTGCCGTTGACGTGGTGGGAATTGACGACATTTACAGCGAATGTACTGTCGACGTCACCGTAAACACTGCAACAACTTCACAATCGGTGACAGTAGGATGTCTAGATGGCCAGGACTTCGGGCCTCTTCGGTTCACTTCCGTTGTATCGGAGGTAGGTACTGGGGTCTGTTGTATCGGAGGTAGGTACTGGGTTATTTTGTATCGGAGGTAGGTACTGGGGTCTGTTATGTCAGAGGCAGGTACAGGAGTCTGTCCATTTCAAAACATGATGTGTTGTATGTTTTGGGTCAGATGTATACTATCATGTTCCAGTTCAGCTTGGTGTGCGACAGGAAGATCCTGTCGAGACTGCCGCAGTTCCTGGTTCTAGCAGGGGAAGGCTTGGTGTGCGGGGAAGCCCTCGGCGCCATCCTGATTCCTCTTCTAGCCGACAGGCTGGGCAGGAAGCCAATGCTCATCACAGCTCATGCGGCGACCCTGCTCTTGACAGTGGCTATGGCATTCTCCCGATCAATTGTTGAATTCACAGTCCTTAAAGCCTTCAGTGGAATTTTTATTGATGTGAGTGTCCAAAGTGGATTCTCTGTCGCTAGTTCTCCTTAAAGTCGCTCTGTCATTTAAGGCAATGTAGCGCCCAATAGATCCCAATCACCTCGATGACTGACCTCTCGAACTACTCGAGTATATACTGTGCATAAATGTAGGGGAACCACAGAAACATTCAGTGATGTCTGGATTTATGTGGCAAGAATATCTCTAAAGACATTCAGACCCAACACAACGCCATGACGTCAGTGGTATTCCAGATTACACATAATCATTGAGGGGATAGCAGACCACTAGAACCAATTAGATCAGATCGCCTACTCCCAAGCATATATGATCATATCATTTCTATTTGCCTGTACCATATTGACCAGGTCATCTGTGTTGATGATGTCCACTATGTTTATGGCATAGTACATTACTCTGCATGCTCTTCTATAACGCTGTATGGTGACTATATAGATAACATGGTCAGAACGTTTTACTTTCTTCACCAATTTCCACCGTAACCCGAACGTGTAAATCTTTCTTTATAGTGCGACGTTAAATTGTAAAGCAGAAGCACAATGGTGTCAAAGTCAAACGCACACACACTAAATGATCCAGGTCTTTCTGTTTAAACGACTTTGCTATTTTGGCGCTGTATTGTTCCAGGGGGTCCTGCTTGTGCTTGTGACTATGGCACTGGAATTGACGCTCACAAAGGAAAGAAAGTTTGTGGCGTTCTTCTTGCTATTAAGTTGGTCCGTATCGGCCTTGACCTTAGGCGCCATTGGGTTTAGCCTGAGGCTGATGTCTTGGCGGACCATTCAGTATGCACTGGCGGCTGGTTCTCTTGTTGTGTTTGCTCAAATCCTGTAAGTGCCTCTGCAGCCTATGGTACATGTTCATGCTTGCTTTCTTAATGGAGGTAATAGGGCGTAAGTGGCATACCTGCAATATCTCTACAGGAAGATTAGGTATGAAATAGATATATGGACTATTCTTCATTATGCTTAACGAAACGGTCCACGCTCTTCACAACAGTGAAGAGGAAGAGGTGACCTTTAAAATCTGTGAAAGCATTTCATCTGACGAATAACACAGCATGCTTCACATGAAGCAGGAGATTTGATTATTTTATATGAGCAGTGCAAATGTCTGACCACAGGATTTAGAATTGACGCGACAATACAGGAGAAATGTTACCTTCCTTACATTTAATTTGAAACAAGATTGTGAGTGATGCACTAACGTGTCTTTTGCTATTTCTTGCATCCAATTTCCAAATTCATATTTCAGTATACTACATGAGTCAATTCGTTGGCTACTCGCTGTTGGACGAACGAAGACTGCCATAAGATTGGTGGAATTTGCCGCTGAGTTTAATAATGTACATGTGGACGAAAAGTTGATATATGGCTTAACACACGACGATGAGGAAGAAGCTATTACAACATGTACGTCTTCCGCAGCTACTGATACCACCCCGGATCCGGAAGACACACCGACAGAGACATCCGATCCAGAAGATAAATCAACAGAGACATCAGATCCAGAAGATAAATCAACAGAGACGTCAGATCCAGAAGATAAATCAACAGAGAGATCAGATCCAGAAGATAAATCAACAGAGACATCGGTTCCAGAAGATAAATCAACAGAAACATCGGTTCCAGAAGTCAAACCGACAGGAACACCAATTCCGGAAGACACTCTGACAAGAACATCAGTTCCCCCTGATCCTTCCACGACAGCAGCAGGAACAGCAGCAGGAACAGCAACAGCAACAGCAGCTGCTGATATCAACTGCAGGAACAGGAACATCAGCAGCAACACCGACAGAATCAAGAGCAGTGACGAGACATACTGGCTTCAATGTGGATACTGATCCCCCAGGCTGTTGTGCATTTGCTCGCAATAGACATTTATTGATAAACCTCTTTATTTACATTTACGTTTGGTACGTAGCAGACACGAAATGCTGAAAAACGTGCAACATATTTGAATTTCTAATATTTAATCCAGCTTTGGTGTCATAGAACATGCTCATGTGCATCTTGATTTACATCTGTTCCATGTTAATGATTGGTCCATTACTAATTGTAACATCAAGTCTTTTTCGAAAGCATTTGAATATTTTTGCAGTCTTGTTGACCCTTTCTTTGCACAAAGTATCATTTGTAAATGCACATAAATAATTCCAAACACTTATTTCGTTTCTAACACGAATAATAATTGATAACCAAATACCTTTCTCGTACTGTGTGTATGTGAACATTGCTCGTTAAGTGTATATCTTTTTAATGCCTGATATGTAACAATCTGAAGGTTCGTCCTCGGATTCTCCTACTACACCCTGTACCTGACCGAGAGCGCTCTCGCTGACGACCCGTACCTCAACTTCACCGTGAATGTACTGTCTGAACTCCCCGCCGCAATAATTTTGCTTTTCTCGGTAGACAGGTATGTCTTAGACTAAACTATCGGCTGGTTTCACTGTCGCGTTGAAACGTATGTTAGTTTGGGACCATCCATAATTTCTGGCTAGTGGGAGGGGTGGGGGTGGGGTTGGGGTTAATGATGATTTTCAGGGGGTGGTAGGTGGGGTGGTGGTCACCCATTTTGTTCTGGGGAGGTAGAGGGGCCATCAATTTTGTACACGTCTACTGGGGTGGGGGTTATTGATTTTGAACATGACATGCAGGGGGGTCACTTACTTTGTACATAAATTCTAGAGGGGGGGGGGGCATTCACATTGTACATGCTTCTCCATAACACATCCTCCCCCCCCATGAATTATGAACGGTCCCTTATTTCAGTGCGCATGTTTAATACAGGAGTAGGCGATTGATTTTTGATTTACGCCAATATTCGTGCAATATCATGACGAGACTCAGTGTACCTTCATGTGGAAACGAAACCGGGCCAGCGAGCGGTACAAATGCAAATCTGAATATATGTATTTCTTATTTAGATCTATAATTATGCATTTGAAGTTATGATAAGTAAATGGTTAGGTTATACCACTGCAAAACAAAAGGTTGTTTAACAGGACATCCGCACGGAGAGCAGAAGGATGCGGATTCTTTCATTTACATCGCTAACGAAATACGTTAAAGCTAGAACTCTTATCCTGCTTGGCGATCAACACAAAGTGGATAAAACAAGGACGTTTTCTGTTCGGAGCACAGGAACCCGTTATCGCTATTTAGGTAAAACATAAACCATAGATCTACACACCTATGTACTCTATACATATATACTCTATGTTTTACATAGCAATAACGGGTTCCTGTGGTTCGTATTCAGTACACTGTGTCTAAGTATGGTCCTAAGTACGGCACCGCCTCCGTGGTGTAGTGGTTAGACCGTCCGCCCGGAGAGTGGAAGGTCGCGGGTTCGATACCCGGCCGCGTCATACCAAAAGACGTTAAAATATGGTACTTGTCGATCCCTGCGCTCGGCATTAATGGGTACAACGAGGACTGGTTGGTTCGGAGTCAGTATAATGTGTCTGAGTGGGGTATTCATGCTTAACCGCGGCATGGTGTGCGCTTAGCAAGTAAAAGCTTGGGAGAAGAGTAAGGTCTTTATTAGTTTGACTTGAAAGATTCAAGCGATTAGGCAGATTTCAGGTTTTCGGGCAGACAGTTCCATTTTTGTGCAGCTGAATATGTATATATGTTGACTGATTCGGGGTTCTTTTTACAGCCTTGGAAGAAAAAAACAATATTCCTCTTTTTGGGTCTTGCAGTTGTTTTCTGACACTTTCAACTATAGTTCGATTATTTGCAGGTGAGTATAACCTGGAGCTGTTTCCATGGTGTAGTGTAGCAAGAGCAGAGATTGCGTCTGCAGAGGAACATACACGATTGATTCTGTCTCGGGACCCACCAATTCACATTTTAGAGTTAGGGTTGGGGACGTTCAATTTTGTCAAAGTAGGGCATTTCCTTGTCACTGATTCAAACTGAGCATGGTTTCCTGGGAACGAAGCACCTCAATCCAATCTCAGATTTCCTACTAGAATTACAACGAATGTGATTATGGATGCTGCCGAATCACATGTTCAAGAATGGACCAGAATTAGAGGCCAGTATGTTGAAAAATCTGGGGATTCAATGTTATGATATCATCAATAATCATCACATAAATAGTTATAATGATAATAATAAGAATAATAATAATAAACCTGATCTAATCAAAGCCAATGAATTTATTTATATCATTGAATTTTCTGTCCCATTTGACACCAATGTGATTGGCAAGATTCAGGAAAAGCATGATAAATATGCGGACCTCAAAGTTCTTGGTGGGTTCGACTAGGCAGCGTTTCCTGGGAGAAGTCCCATTGCTGTCTGGACTGCAAAGGGGTGAGGGCCCACTGATGATTGCCTTCCAGCCTGACTGTGCCAGGATCACCCGAACCCTCTCTGCTGCATACTATCTTTAATCTGTAATACATAATAATAATCAAATAGCCAATTCCCAAGCATTGATCTGCCAACAACTTCAGCCATCGAGCATAATGTTTGTACCAAGACCGTGTGACTCTTGATAGTTCACAATTTTGCCACACACTATTCGTTCACGTGCGTTTTCAGGTGAACAATTGCTTAGCCTTTGTGTGCTTTTATGACGGCAAAGTTACCACCTGTCGGGCAAACGGGTACCACCGGTACCACCGGTGGGGCAGGTTACGCTCACTTTTATGACGGGTACCACCGGTGGGGCAGGTTACGCTCACCTTTTATGACGGGTACCACCGGTGGGGCAGGTTACGCTCACCTTTTATGACGGGTACCACCGGTGGGGCAGGTTACGCTCACCTTTTATGACGGGTACCACCGGTGGGGCAGGTTACGCTCACCTTTTATGACGGAACGGGTACCACCGATGGGGCAGGTTACGCTCACCTTTTATGACGGGTACCACCGGTGGGGCAGGTTACGCTCACCTTTTATGACGGGTACCACCGGTGGGGTAGGTTACGCTCACCTTTTTGCAAACACCTGGTAACATCACTATTTGATAGTGAATCATAAAAACATGCGCATGAAAGTCGGAATGCTACGATGGACTCTGCAGTAATTTCCTATGGGTGTGGAAAGGGTTTTGTCGTTTAGAAATAGACACCCATGGGCCATGACACATGTAATCGCGATTACATTGAAGATGTTGATACTAAATGTGATCGCCTCATCGCCTCTGTTTAACCATCGATTGTTATTTATTTACATTTTAATGCATATTTAACGTAGGTAATAAAATAATAAATCAATTCTCGTTAGATAACGTATTTTTACCAAACTTTCTATGGGATCTAACAAAAATGAGTGTTATGTTCTCTATTTACGTTATCAGACCTGGGCCCCGTACCACAAAGTGAGTTTAGCTCGAAGGTGATCGTAACTTCCATACTTTAACATAGGCTTACGGTCATCCTAGTGCTTTGTGGAACCGAGCCCTGGAATGTCTAAGTCTTCTCTTATTTGTACAGGCACTGACGCTACATCGGTGGTTTTACCACTCTTCGGATTCATTGGAAAACTTGGTGTGTCTGGGACTTATTACACTCTGTTTCTGTACGTTGAAGAAACATTTCCAACAACCTACAGGTTAGTAATACAGTAACATAATAATCTGTTTACTTCATCACTGGCTGGCATCACTAAACGCACGGCATAACGTAGTCATGGTATAATGGCATGATGTAACATGGTATTAGACCATCCATAGTCCAGTCATAGCACATAAGGAGACATTAGCCAGTCTTTGGTCTAGTTATAAGTTAACAATTTGTCCATATTTAATATGTTTGTATAGCGCCGTGTTCCAGCTGGACGCTAGCATAAGAGTGTCAAATCACAAAGAAAAGAGATAGGTCTTTAGTTCTCCGCGGGATGATTCAAGGCTAGGTGCAGACTTGATTAATTCAAAGCACAGGCAGCGCTCTGAAAGGAGAGAACGCCAAATTTGGGTGTGGTTTGTTAAACTGCGACGAGCAACAGGACGCCAGTGTCGATCTTCCAGCCTGGGAGTGGTGTGTTCTTGTCTGGGTACCTTGCGATGATTCTTCAGGCTGTATTCTGTATCACTTGAAGACGATTTATCAGGGATGATGATATGCCATATGTAGTTACCTAGCATTAACCGGTCATTAACATGCCAAATACGTAGTCTGGACGCATGACATAGCATTGCCATTTTGACTGGTCTCACCAACTCAGTCCTCCCTTACACCATGCGTGACGTGACCGTGAATTGGCGCATCGTCTGCCATTGTTACATCGCTGTTCTGGTTTTACTTTCAGACTGATCGGGTTCGGCACAGCTGGCATGTCGGCGAAGTTGGGATCACTTGGAGCCCCATTTATTGTCTTTGTTGTAAGTGAATACATGAGTGGGGATTTTACGCACGCTGCTTCTAACAATATTCCAGCCCTGTTCATGACGGACGTATGGCTTTCACATATTGTTCCAATATAGGGAATCGAACTACGACCTTCGGCAAGACAAGCTAACACTGTAACCAGGAGGCTAAATAAATCTCAACCCTCCTGATTTAACGTTAGGTTTACACTGGTAGGAATCGAAACAACGTCTTACCCGCCTTAATGTAGGAAGTAAGGGACCGTTCATAATTTATGGCTTGGGGGTGGGGAGGGAGGGGTGTGCGTGATGATGATTTTAATGGAGAAGCATGTACAATGTGAATGACCACCCTAAAATTTATGTATAAAGTAAGTGACCCCCTTTCCCATATTTTAAAGCATAAATTTTAAATAAACTCTGTCAAAAAGAAACGCAACCCTGTCCTCAGATATGAAAAAATTCGTTTGAATGAAGTTATTGCTTCCAAACTAAATTTGATTCGAATGTATTGAA